CTGTCTTTTCTCAACTTCCTTAATCCGGAACTCTTTGAGTAAAGGTAGAGTATCCATGGCAGGGGTTTTCGCTGGAGGAAGAAGCACAGAAGACATTGTTGGAGTCTCTTTGTTTCATTCATCTTAGGCTTCATGATTGATCTGAGATAGGATCACTTGGAATTCCAACCATCCCATAAACAATTTCATATCGTACCAAAACCTGACACATGCCACAACTGGAAGATAACCTTTATGGGTGATAAATGGATGCAGAGGGTGGTCTACAGCAGAAAATGCATCATCTGCCTTGACAGGATGGGCTCTGGCATCTCTTTGCAGCAAGTGGGAGGACTGAACTCTCCACAACAAATTCTACTCTGATTATACCAGGACCGACACCCCAGATCTTCTTGACTGAATAATGGGTCCCTTTGGGTGAAGTACAGCTTCATCCTTTATAATTTTAGGGCTCTACCTTCCAATCTATGGGGTAAAATTATAAAGGATGGAGCTGTACAAAGGACACTGAACTGCCAGGTGAGACCCATCCTGCAGGCATCCTAATAGCACATGCAGGTTGCTATCAGAAGATTGCTCTTCCCAGGAAACAACTCTAAGCAGTATTGTTGAAGGCTTTCATGGCTGGAATCACTGGGTTGTTGTAGGTTTTTCGGGCTATATGGCCATGTTCTAGAAGCATTCTCTCCTGACATTTTGCCTGCATCTATGGCAAGCATCCTCGGAGGAGACATCACAACCTCTGAGGATGCTTGTGCTGTCGCACGCTGGGCCTGTGCCTAAGACTGTAGACAGGACATAAATTCTGTGTGCCCAACGGGAAGCTGGGGCTGCCTCAGATTAAAGGCCTTTGGATTTCCTTAAAACAGAGTCTTTAGATTGCTTAAAGGTTCAACAAAGTTCTTTATTAATGAAAACAAACAGGTACTTTAAGCTTTCTTAACAGTCTATTGGCTCTCTCTCAATCTTGTCCACAGGGAATAGGCACTATCTTCATAACTGTAACTAACTAATGGGGAAATCCTTAACTTCTAATTTGGGCAGTCTGTCTTTGCCTCTGTTGGCGTGGAGCCCCTGCACCCGGTACCAACTGCTTCTGGCTTCCGCGAGTGACCCTTACCAAGCAGAGCTTTGTAGACTTCCAGGGGAAAAGAATTCAGGTTTCCGTGGTGGCTGACTGAAGTCCTTCAGCAAAGGAGCTGTAGGGCTGTATAACCCCGGCCAAGCTGTGGGCTGTATATCTCCCCGGCCAAGCCGTAGAAGACGAAGCTTTCTACAGGAGCTCTTGGTATTATGTCCTGCATGAAAGCTTCTCTGTGTGGACTGAACCCAAAAATTCACACCAACAGGATCACTTTTCTGGGGACCTACACACTACATTGCACAAAAGGGGCCCTGCCAATCCTGAAAGTAAACAGGTCTTGGTAATAGGCGACTCCCTCCTTAGAGGAACGGAAGCTGTCATTTCCAGACCAGATGGGATGGCTCGAGAAATATGCTGCCTACCGGGGGCAAAAATACATCATATCACTCAGAGGCTCACCAGGCTCCTCAAGCCCTATCACCGTCCTCCCCTCATGTTGATTCATGTAGGAACCAATGATACTGCAAGGCATACGTTTCAAAAGATCACAAATGATTTCGAGCTCTAGGAGCAAAGCTAAAAGAATGTAATGTACAGGTGGTCTTTTCATCCCTCCTCCCTGTTGTAAGACACGGACCCACAAGAGCCAGAAAAATAGTACAGGTCAATGACTGGCTTAGAGAATGGTGTCAGGAGGAACGCTTTGGCTTCCTCGACCATGGCCTGCTTTTCCAGGAGGATGGCCTACTGGCAAGGGATGGGGTGCATCTCACACAAGTAGGAAAACACCTTTTTGCTCACAGACTCGCAAACCTCATTAGACGCACTTTAAACTAGGTCCACCGGGGGAGGGGGACAACAGCCTTGCGAACACTACTTTACCCATAATGTCTGGGAATCGCCAGAAGGCTAAACGGAGGGCTGCACAAACACAACAAGGACCAAGTACCAAAAGCACAATAATCCCAATTAAACAGCTCAAGGGAAGATCTCAGGGGCTCACATGTCTTTACACTAATGCACAGAGCATGGGAAATAAACAAGACGAACTCCAACTTTTAGCACAACACCACAAATATGATATCATAGGGATCACTGAAACCTGGTGGGATGACTCCTATCGCTGGAATGTAGATATCGAGAGGTATAACCTCTTTCACAGAAACCGAACAAAGGGGAGAGGAGGCGGAGTAGCCTTATATGTCAAAAACTCTTATGCTGCAGAAGAGATTCAAGACAGCAATCTGGGAAACCAGCTTGAAATCATCTGGATAAGAATCAAGGGAACTGGGACTCAAAAAGATGTCGTTGTAGGCGTCTACTACAGACCCCCAAGCCAGGAGGAAGAACTTGATGAAGTCTTCTGCCAACAGTTGACCAAACAGGCACAGAAAAGAAATGTAGTAGTCATGGGCGATTTCAACTATCCCGATATTTGCTGGAAAACAAACTCGGCCAAGAGTACAAGGTCCAACAAATTCCTCGCTTGCCTTGCAGACAATTTCATGGTCCAGAAGGTAGAAGAGGCAACAAGGGGATTGGCTACTCTTGATCTCATCCTAACAAATGCGGAGGACCTGATCGAGGCGGTCGAAGTGGTAGGATCCTTAGGGGCAAGTGACCATGTGCTCCTGCAATTTGAGGTACAAAGGAAGGCCGAAACTAAGACAAGTCAAACCCGCATTTTGGACTTTAGGAGAGCTGATTTCCAAAAAATGAAGGAAACACTGAGCAGCATTCCGTGGACACAGATACTAAAAGACAAGGGAGTTACGGATGGATGGGAATTTCTCAAGAGTGAAATTCTCAAGACGCAATTGCAAACCGTGCCAACAAAGAGAAAAAAATAGGACAAGTGCAAAGAAGCCAGAATGGATGTCCAAAGAACTTCTAACTGTGCTAAGACACAAAAGAGACATGCACAAGAAGTGGAAAAAGGGAGAAATCACCAAAGAAGAATTCAAACAAATAGCCAACACCTGTAGGGAAAAGGTCCGCAAGGCTAAAGCAAAAAACGAGCTCAGACTTGCCAGGGACATTAAAAATAAAAAGGGCTTCTATTCTTATGTCAGTAGAAAAAGGAAAAACAAGGAGGCAATAGGACCTCTTCGTGGAGAAGATGGGGCAATGCTGACAGGGGATAGGGAAAAGGCAGAACTACTTAATGCCTTCTTTGCCTCGGTCTTCTCACAAAAAGAGAGTCTTCAACCTCAGCAAGATGGAGTGGATGAGGGATTGGAGGACATCCAACCCCAAATTGGGAAAGAAGTCGTCCAGGAATACCTGGCCGCTCTTAATGAGTTCAAGTCCCCAGGGCCAGATCAACTACACCCAAGAGTATTGAAGGAACTAGCGGAAGTCATTTCGGAACCATTGGCAACCATCTTTGAGAGTTCTTGGAGAACGGGAGAAGTTCCAGCAGATCGGAGGAGGGCCAATGTGGTCCCAATCTTCAAGAAGGGAAAAAAGGATGACCCAAACAACTACCGTCCCGTCAGCCTCACGTCGATACCGGGCAAGATTCTGGAAAAGATTGTTAAGGAAGCGGTCTGCAAACACTTAGAAACAAATGCAGTCATCGCTAATAGTCAACATGGATTTATCAAAAACAAGTCATGCCAGACTAATCTGATCTCTTTCTTCGATAGAGCTACAAGCTGGGTAGATGCGGGGAATGCCGTGGATGTAGCGTACCTGGATTTCAGTAAGTCCTTCGACAAGGTCCCCCATGACCTTCTGGCAAGGAAACTAGTCCAATGTGGGCTAGGCAAAACTACGGTGAGGTGGATCTGTAATTGGTTAAGTGGACGAACACAGAGAGTGCTCACTAATGCTTCCTCTTCATCTTGGAAAGAAGTGACAAGTGGAGTGCCGCAGGGTTCCGTCCTGGGCCCGGTCCTGTTCAACATCTTTATTAATGACTTAGATGAAGGGCTAGAAGGCATGATCATCAAGTTTGCAGACGACACCAAATTGGGAGTGATAGCCAATAGTCCAGAGGACAGGAGCAGAATTCAAAACGATCTTGACAGATTAGAGAGATGGGCCAAAACTAACAAAATGAAGTTCAACAGTGACAAATGCAAGATACTCCACTTTGGCAGGAAAAACGAAATGCAAAGATACAGAATGGGGGACAATGCCTGGCTCGAGAGCATTACGTGTGAAAAAGATCTTGGAGTCCTCGTGGACAACAAGTTAAACATGAGCCAACAATGTGATGTGGCGGCAAAAAAAGCCAATGGGATTTTGGCCTGCATCAATAGGAGCATAGTGTCTAGATCTAGGGAAGTAATGCTACCCCTCTATTCTGCTTGGTTAGACCACACTCGGAATTGTGTCCAATTCTGGGCACCACAATTCAAGAGAGATATTGACAAGCTGGAATGTGTCCAGAGGAGGGCGACTAAAATGATCAAGGGTCTGGAGAACAAGCCCTATGAGGAGCGGCTTAAGGAGCTGGGCATGTTTAGCCTGAAGAAGAGAAGGCTGAGAGGAGATATGATAGCCATGTATAAATAAATATGTGAGAGGAAGCCACAGGGAGGAGGGAGCAAGCTTGTTTTCTGCTTCCTTGGAGACTAGGACAAGGAACAATGGCTTCAAACTACAAGAGAGGAGATTCCATCTGAACATTAGGAAGAACTTCCTGACTGTGAGAGCCGTTCAGCAGTGGAACTCTCTGCCCCGGAGTGTGGTGGAGGCTCCTTCTTTGGAAGCTTTTAAGCAGAGGCTGGATGGCCATCTGTCAGGGGTGCTTTGAATGCAATATTCCTGCTTCTTGGCAGGGGGTTGGACTGGATGGCCCATGAGGTCTCTTCCAACTCTGATTCTATGATTCTATGATTTTAGTCATTCCACCGGAGTGTGGTGGAGGCTCCTTCTTTGGAAGCTTTTAAACAGAGGCTGGATGGCCATCTGTCAGGGGTGATTTGAATGCAATATTCCTGCTTCTTGGCAGGGGGTTGGACTGGATGGCCCATGCGGTCTCTTCCAACTCTTTGATTCTATGATTCTATTATTCTATGCTTCTCTGTGTGGACTGAACCCAAACTGGCTCCTATTCCCTCCAAAACCCAAAGGGGGCAGGACCAGGGAACCTAACTATAATTGACAGGTGGCTTGCCCTATGATTGCAGCCAAAAGAAGCCACCTATCTGCAGAGTCCCTGAAACTTAGGACTACAACAAACATTCAATGCAAAGCAAACAAAATTGGAGCTCCTGGTACAGCTGTACCTGCACGGTGCCCATGCAGCAGGAGAAATGTCAGGAGAGAATGCTTCTAGAACATGGCCATATAGCCCCCAAAATCTACAAAAATCCAACTCTAAGCAGTGTTGGTATTTGGTCAATTGACTGAGTAGTTCAAGTTCCTGGTCACTTTGGCATTCTTGGACCAGCATAAGGTACCTATTTTTTTGCACTTTGGGATTTTTTTTGCCAAAAATGTGTCTATGCAAAAAAAAAAAACCATGTCCAAAAACAACTCTTGTCATCCTGCTGAGTGTGGAAAACACTTTTGGAAAATGTTCCTCTTTTTCTCCCCAGAGAACAACTTACCCGTCCCCTCCCGCAGCTCCAAAGACCCTCGCCCTTCCATCCACTGATAGCAGGGGAAATGGTAGGCCACTCCTTTTGGGGACATCACAGTGATACAACTGCAATACCAGCTTGTGGGGATGAGGGCGAGTTTGATTTGCTTGTGGAGACGCAGGAGCACAATTTCTCCCAGGTCGCGCTGGCAGGAGACTTTGTAATCACTCACCTGTAAGAGAAAAGTAAGCAAATCGCCCAAGGTGACCCCAGATAACAATAGACCACAAGCTATTAAGCAACGTTTCAGCTCTGGCTAAAAGACATTGCCTACAAAAGTACACATTACATGCGAATTGGGAGTGGGGCAGCTGGAGTGGAAATGGCTGAAGGCTTTTCCAACTGTAGAAGAAGAAATTGCAGGAGGTGTTATATATTAGCTGATAGCTGCCAAGCAGTGCCTGCTGAAATTTTGACTTCTACGCAACCATTAAAGGGATAGAAGCCCTCTCCAGATTTCACTGTGGCAACCTGAATTGGGAGCTCCATGGATGGAGAACAAGTTGAGAGGTTCTTCTCTATCCTCCACCAACCTCACAGGTACAAGGTGGGAATGTGGCACAGCTGGCTGGGAGTCAGATATATTAAGATCAGTACTGACCGAAAGGTCATGAGTTTGAAGCCAGCCCGGGTTGGAATGAGCTTCCAACCAATTTTGTGTAGCATGCTGTCGACCTTTGCAGCCTGAAAGATAGTTGCATCTGTCAAGTAGGAAATTTAGGTACCGTTTATGCGAGGAGGCTAATTTAACTAATTTACGAGGGCATAAAAATCTCCAGCAAGCCTGCAAAGAATGAGGAAGTACTTCATAAGTGTCACAAATGGTTGGTGAAGGGACAGCTCCCCTGGTGGCCAGAATACCCTCATGAAAAGCTGGAATGTTAAATTGCCTCTGTGTCTGTCTATATATGTTGTGTGTCTATGACATTGAATGTTTGCCACGTATATGTACATTATAATCTGCCCTGAGTTCCCTGCGGGGTGAGAAGGGTGGAATATAAATACTGTAAATAAATAAATAAATACAAAAATAGGTCCTTCTTAATGAATGCTCCAAGGTCCTGGAAATGCCCACCTAGAAAGCTACATTGCTTCTCTCCATAAGATGATAGATAGACACATATCACAGGCTTCAGGATTTTAGTGCAATAGGTTTCCCCTACCTGTGGGGAACATGTTCTTGGCCAGACTGAACTTACAGGAACCCATGGATATGAACCAACACCAGTGAATCAATTCTAGATCCAAAATACTATAGAGTGGGGTTGGAAATCACAGGGATTCATAAACAGGTATACTCCCAATCCCACTTGAGATCAGCTAGCTGGCTATCAACAGTCTTGCTCAGATCTTGCACACCCAAGGCTATGTAAAATGAATCTAGAATCCTAGAGTTGGAAGAGACCTCGTGGGCCATCCAGTCCAACCCCATTCTGCCAAGAAGCAGGAAAATCACATTCAAAGCACCCCGATAGCTGGCCATCCAGCCTCTGTTTAGCTTCCAAAGAAGGAGCCTCCACCACACTCTGGGGCAGAGAGTTCCACTGCTGAACAGCTCTCACAGTCAGGAAGTTCTTCCTAATGTTCAGATGGAATCTCCTTTCTTGTAGTTTGAAGCCATTGTTCCGCATCCTAGTCTCCAAGGCAGCAGAAAACAAGCTTGCTCCCTCCTCCCTATGACTTCCTCTCACATATTTATACATGGCTATCATGTATCCTCTCAGCCTTCTCTCAGCCTCTCTTCTTCAGGCTAAACATGCCCAGCTCCTTAAGCCGCTCCTCATAGGGCTTGTTCTCCAGACCCTTGATCATTTTAGTCACCCTCCTCTGGACACATTCCAGCTTGTCAATGATCTCTCTTGAATTGTGGTGCCCAGAATTGGACACAATATTCCAGGTGTGGTCTAACCAAAGCGGAATAGAGCATGGGTAGAATTACTTCCCTAGATCTAGAGCATTACTTCCCTAGATCTAGATCTTGACAGTCCTACCGGAAGACTTCTGAGACATAAAGCCTCTCCTTTCTTGTAGTTTGAAGCCATTGCTCCATTGCTTCCTAGTCTCCAAGGCAGAAGAAAACAAGCTTGCTCCCTCCTCCCTATGACTTCCCCTCACATATTTATACATGGCCCTCATCATGTTTCCTGTCAGCCTTCTCTTCTGAGTTCTTTAAGCCGCTCCTCATAGGGCTTGTTCTCCAGACCCTTGATCATTTGAGTCACCTCTTTCTCTGGATATATGCCAGCTTAGAGGCAACATCTCCCTTCAACTGCAGTGCCCAGAATTGGACACAGTGTGATTCCAGGTGTGGTTTGACCAAGGCAGAACAGAGTGGTAGCATGACTTTTCTGGATCTAGGCACTAGACTCCCATTTATGCGGGCCACAAATGTCCCATAGGGAGACATTAGTTTACGGCACAAATTTTCATAATAAAGACAGACGGAGAGAAAGAACAGGACATAATCTCAATAAGATTAAGTATCAGCTTGCTCTCTGACCCAAAAAGACCATCTTTTCCACACTCACCGCTCCAACATAGAAGTCCACGCCCCAGTTGTCCAAGGCAGTTTTGGGGCTCTCGCCTTCGGTGCCCACCAAAGTGATGAAAATGGAGTCGAGGGTGGCCGAAGTGACAAAGTTGCCTGTTACCACCTGGACGTTGTACTTAGCCATATTGCTGGAGCTCGGTTACTCTGACTTGACGTTGAGCACCAAGCAAGGAGCTGAGTTTATTCTGCAGCTCCGCTGGCCACAAAGGATGATATTTAATGTGTGCCAGCTTCCACCAGCCTTGCCGCCCTACCCTTTCTCCTGACGTGGCCGCTCCCATTAAAAAGACAAATAAATGGTCTTTTGGCAAATGAAGCCTGAGTGGAAATCAAGATGGATACTGGCCAATATTGGATACTAGAAGAATAGAGGCGAGCTCTGCCATGGATTACTGCATTCTACCCCTAGATTAGAAAAATATGCAGAAAAGGAATAACATCAACATACATTGGATAGGTGCCTTTATTCTGGGGCCAGAGCCAGGAATAGCTAGAACAGTGTTTCTCAACCTTCCTAATGCTGTGACTCCCTAATACAGTTCTTCATGTGGTGGTGACCCCCAACCATAAAATTATTTTCGTTGCTACTTCACCACTGTAATTTTGCTACTGTTACAAATTGTCATGTAAATATCTGATATGCAGGATGTATTTTCATTCACTGGACCAAATTTGCCCAATACACCTGTGCAGGTACAGCTGTACCAGGAGCTCCAATTTTGTTTGCTTTGCATTGAATGTTTGTTGTCATCCTAAGTTTCAGGGACTCTGCAGATAGGTGGCTTCTTTTGGCTGCAATCATAGGGCAAGCCACCTGTCAATTATAGTTAGGTTCCCTGGTCCCGCCCCCTTTTGGGTTTTTGGAGGGAATAGGAGCCTTTTTGGGTCAGTCCACACAGAGAAGCTTTCCATACAGGACATAATACCAAGAGCTCCTGTAGAAAGCTTTGTCTTCTACGGCTTGGCCGGGGAGATATACAGCCTACAGCTTGGCCGGGGTTATACAGCCCACAGCTTGGCCGAGGATCATACAGCCTTACAGCTCCTTTGCGGAGGGACTTCAGTCAACCATCACTGAAACCTGAACTCCTTTTCCCCTGGAGGTCTACAAAGCTCTGCTTGGTAAGGGTCACTCGCGGAAGCCAGAAGCAGTTGGTACCGGGTGTAGGGGCTCACACCATCAGAGGCAAAGACAGACTGCCCAGATTAGAAGTTAAGGATTTCCCCATTAGTTAACAGTTATGAAGATAGTGCCTGTTCCCTGTGGACAAGATTGAGAGAGAGCCAATAGACTGTTAAGAAAGCCTTAAAGTACCTGTTTGTTTTCAATAATAAAGAACTTTGTTGAACCCTTAAGCAATCTAAAGACTCTGTTTTAAGGAAATCCAAGGGCCTTTAATCTGAGGCAGCCCCGGCGTCCCGTTGGGCACACAGAATTCATGTCCTGTCTACAGTCTTATGCACAGGCCCAGTGTGAGACAGCACAACACCCAAATCTGTATACTGGCAGGGTAAAGGTTGATTGTGTGATTTGGGAGTTGTAGTTGCTGGAATTTATAGTCCACCTACAATCAAAGAGCATTCTGAATTCCACCAATGATGGAATTGAGTCAAACTTGGCACACAAAACTCCCATGACCAACAGAAAATACTGGAAGGGTATGGTGGGCATTGGCCTTGAGTTTTGGAAATGTAGTTCACCTACATCAAGAAAGCACTGTGGACTCAAACTGTAAGGGAAGTGGGGTTTTAGGGTCTGGACCCCCCCTCTTCTTAAGAAGCCCACGAAGTCCAAGTGGTTCAGGTAAGACACTGTTTATTAATGCTGGCCAGCAAGAGGCAAACAGACAACACTTTTGAAAGTGTCCAAACAGACTGCTGCGCCCTGTGGAGTAGGAAAAGGGCCAAACTTCGCCAGCATTTCATAAATTGGCTGTTTTCCTTCATGAGCTATTTTCGCCATGTGAACCACACTCTGGTGTTGCATGTCCACACAAGACCTGGTTTTCATACTAGAAATGCCAGAGTTTGTACCGTAATCCAGGACATAAGTGGTCCTGTTTGGTGGGAGGAAAAGTTCAACATGGAGGACTCTGCATCATGCACCTGGCCCTGGAAATATGCCTAGTTCAGTAACTTGGAAAGTAACTTGGGGTCATGTCTCCATTGTATATTTTTGGCCACGATCCTGTTAGCGTGACATACCTCCAGAACAGAAGCAGAAACAAAATCCAGTTCATTGAGAAAGGCAAATAGTTTAAATGGGATGGAACGGTGCCATTATTGGGATTTAGTTTCTCCACGTTGTCCCAACGTGCCTTGCAGTTTTGTTCTATAGACCAAGGTGGAGCTTGCCAATGCCAGGGTTTGGTCCTCCATCTCAGCTATTGGATCCTCTTCTCTAGTCACTGAGGCAAATATATTATTATGTTTATGTTTGTTTATACCCTGCTTTTTGTCTCCACAAAGGAAACTCAAAGAGAAGGAATCTCAGTGTAAAACATTGCATTCCAAAGTGTGTGTGAGTGCTTCTTGCTAGTTGTACTTTGTGTGTGTGATGTGCGCGCTACTGGAATAGGATATTTGATGCCACTATTACAACTCATTCTCTCATAGGCTCATTCCAGGAGTGCAAAGCAAATGATGTTTACTATTCACAGTCAAGGCCCAAGGCATTTAAGGGAAATCTTGAATATCTCCAGGCTATAAGCCTCTATAAGCTTTACAACAATACAATTAATATGTCCTGCAATTGGTTAACAGGTGAAATACAAATGGATTTTTGGAAGGTATAGATGGATTATATGAAAGGTGCCATTTGTCATTTGGCTAATCCATTATTTTCCCATCCTTCACCCATTATTGTACCTGATTCTTACTTAAAGGGAGGTCATCTGGAGGCATGGGGCAGATTGCTATCAGTATGCTAGTGACACCCAGATATATTAATCCATGTCTTCAGTAACCGCTTCAGCTAATGATAACATCATTATTATTATTATTATTATTATTATTATTATTATTATTATTATTATTAAACTTTATTTGTACCCCGGTAGCATCTCCCGAAGGACTCAATGCGGCTTACAAAGGCCAAGGTGTGACAGGTGGGCTCTAAGGCTAATAGGGCAAGTGCAGTGTGCAGTGTGCGGCAATCTTAATTTAATAAAGTGCTTATGGGACTTGGTCTTGGAGGTTTCCTATTCGGGGAAGGCCTGGAGGAGGTAATGGGCTGAAAGAACGCCTGGAGGAGGTAATGGGCTGGATGAGGAAAAACACATTGAAACTAAATCCAGATAAGACTGAGGTGATTTCCATCAAGGGTCCTCATCTGTGGATGGAGGCATGTCAACCAGTCCTGGATGGGGTCCCAGTCCCTCTGATAGACTGTGTCCAAAGCTTGGGACAAGGGATCGTGGATCCGTCCCTCCAAATGTCAGTAACAGTCAGGAGAACTTGCTACCAACTTTGACTGATCCACCAATAGCACCCCTTCCTAGAGTTGGAGGACCTAAGATGGTAGTGCATGCACTGGTAACCTCAAAGGTAGACTTCTGCAATGTGCTGTATATTGGGCTACTTGTTGGAGTTCAGCCTGTGATTGTATCTAATGATCAGGGTACTTTGGATGATGGGAGTGACAATGAGGTTCATGTGTCTGATGATCAGGCTGCTGTGGATGCAGGGAATCATAATGTGGTTCATCCTCAAAGTGATTCTTCTGATGAGAACGTTCCTGAAGGGCTTGGGGATTATGGTCTGTCTCCTGGATCTGAATTGTTACAAGAGGATTCTCAAGCCTGGTCCAGGTGCAGAAGTTAATGAGCCTCTGAACAGAAGAAGTACTTTCAGTCAGCAAAGACAAACTAGACTCTCAGGTGCTCAGCCAGATTACAACAGAGGCTGGTAGGCAATCCAAGGCTGAAAAAGAATCCATTCTTGGCCGTGTGGGAAACTCAGTTGTAGAGATAGCAGCAGTAAAAGAGTCAAGTACACAATCTGTAGCCAGACGAAGCAACATTTGAATTAGGTCAAGATATTGTTTCAGGTTCCTGGATGCTTTGCATTAATTCATGTATTAAGTACCTTGTTATTCATGTTGATGTGTTGTTTGATTCATGTTTAAGTACTTTGGAAGTTCAATTATTTGTTTTCATGGACTCTTTTGGACTATTTTCCTGGATTTTCTGTTCCTATCTACCATTTCTACCTATTTGAATTTACCCTTTTCTGTGGATTATTTTTTACTGTTACTGCTTTTAATTATCTTCAATAAACTGCTTGCTATTTTACTCAGATGTGTGGTGTTTGAAGTCAGAGGGATTCCTGGCCTGGAGTGCAATACTACCTTTGTACCAAGTTCAGAAACTTCAGCTAGCTTAACATACTAATTGTGTGTGTGTGTTTCTTGTTGGTTATACTTTTTATGTGTTACTGGAATAGGATATTAGGTGTCATTGTTACAACTGATTCCCTGTGAGACTCATTCCTGGTGGCCTTATACAAATGACAAATTATGTTTACTATTCACTACACCATCAAAGTGAAGCCAAAATTAAGCTACCTGCTAAGGAGCGGGCTCAGAATTTGGTGCCTGGGGCACCCACCTACATTACCAATCAGATAGAAACATGCAAACTGAGTTGAAGGCAGCAGGAACAGAGCTTTATTACTTTCAGGCCTGAAATGATGTCAGATACAGAGTCTCAAAAAGATTGGACATAACCATACAGTACACCGCAACCTCTTTGATGACCATTCAAAGTCCCCACACCCTGTCCTGATTGGTCAGAAATCAGTCTGGTTTCAATCCAAGTCCCCCATTGGCTAGGGGATCCTCATGATGTCAGCAGTGGGTGGAGTCTCCTCCATGGTGGGAAAAATAAACAGCTGTCATTGGAAGACGTGGAGCTGGAGTCATTTGGAAAGGTCCTCTCAGAAATGGGGCAGGTAGCCAAACATATGTTGAATCAATTTGATGAGATTATTGGCCAGGTCTGGTTTGTACCCAGGGTGAGCCTCAGATACACAATGAGGCTATTATGTAGATATGATCAGTTCAATGAAAAACATACAGATTTTGGTTTGTTGTAGGTTTTTTGGGGTATATGGCCATGTTCTAAAGCATTCCCTCCTGACATTTTGCCTGCATCTATGACAAGCATCCTCAAAAGTTATGAGACCTCACAACCTCTGAGGATGCCTGCCTTAGATGCAGGCAAAACGTCAAGAGAGAATGCTTCTAGAACATGGCCATATAGCCCGAAAAAACTACAACAACCCAGTGATTCCAGCCATGAAAACCTTTGACAATACATCATACAGATTTTATCTGCATGTTGTTTGGGTCTTGTAGCAGCTCATCTCCATATTCCCTCAGAAGATTGAAGTTTTGGTTGGCAGGATTTGGTTTTTCCAGAAGAATGTGGTTGGACGGGATGGCTCATGAGGTCTCTTCCAACTCTAGGATTCTATGATTATATCTTACTTAGCAGATATTGGGCAGCATTGCTTGAGAATTGAACCCAGATCTTTCCTTCTATAACTGGAGACTCTAAAGGCAAAGGTGGGCATCTAAGAAGGGTCTGGGGCCATTTCTCCTTTACGAAAAACTCTTCATGGGCCATATTGACTTCATTCATTCTCCCTGGATAAATGAATGTAGTGGCATTGTCACAACGTACTGGTGCTCCACTGAACAATTCATTCAAGGGGTCTACTCTAGATAGGAGGTGGTCCGAGTGATATAATGGGTTAAATCCTTGTGCTGTCAGGACTGAAGACTGACAGGTTGGAGGTTTGAATCTGAGGAGAGCATAGATGAGCTCCCTCTGTCAGCTCCAGCTCCCCATGTGGAGACATGAGAGAAGCCTCCCACAAGGATGGTGAAACATCAAAACATCCAGGAAGTGTCCCCTGGGCAACGACTTTGCACATAGCCTATTCTCTCACACCAGAAGCGACTTGCAGTTTCTCAAGTCGCTCCTGACATGAAAAAACAGAACAAAACTCTAGATAGGATTACGAATGGAATAGAAGCCAGTAATTCATGCCAATTTGGATGCATATAATTATAAATTTCATACTGTCATGCAAGAATGGATAGAATCATAGAAGCTGGAGGGGACCACAAAGGCAATCTAGTCCAACCCCATTCTGCCATGCAGGAAGACACAACAAAAGCACCCATAAAATTGGCTCCCTAACCCTTGCTTAGAGACCTTGATAATTAATGGCACCATTTCTCTGCACTGGAGAAACTATCCAAGTGCATTGACCACAGAAAATATTGCATATTATCTATGTATATTGTTTCCTTCTTAAATGTTTCCTACTCATGATCTCCTTTTGCCCCAGAAATTTCTATGCAACCCTGGGAATATAAAGTAATCATCAAGTAAAATTAACATTTGCAAATTGGGTTGTTGTAGGTTTTTCGGTTTGTATGGCCATGTTCTAGAAGCATTCTGGAATGCTTCTAGAACATGGCCATACAACCCGAAAAACCTACAACAACCCTGTGATTCCAGCCATGAAAGCCTTCGACAACACTTTCACCATTTGCAAGGTTTACTAAAAAAACAAAAACAAAAACAAGCTGATTTTCCTTTGTTATCAAGTGCCACTGAATCATTTGCTCCTCATTCTTACTTTCCCATCTAACACAAGAGACATCCTATGTCAATTAGATTCAAAGCTTGAGTGACAGCTGCTTCAGCACACACTGCTAAGGAAATACTTACGCCCACCACCTGATTCTGATATTTACCTTATTGAGGCATATCATGCCTATTAAACATATGCAGAAAACCATGCAAAGAAAATACAGAAAGAGATAGACTGTAGCAACAGTTGTTAGAGGCCTTTTCTCCCCTATGGCTTAGATGGAGACACTGTTCTCGATCTCTGGGGGGTAGAGATACTTGTAGCCGAAAGGGACCGGTCCCCCCATCTTGGCCATGGACTTGTTCCTCTCCTCAATTTCATTGGAAATCTTCTTCAGTTCCTCTTGGAAGTCAGCAATGAGTCTTCTGGGTGACTCTTCTGTGAAATGCTCCTCCGGATAATTGCCCAGGGGTATCTGGAATGCAAAATAATAGAGAATACAAGAAAAAAGGGGAGAAAGAGGGAAATTTGGTCAAGCTAAAACCACCCAGACTTTGCAAAGCAACTTTTTTAAAAAGTGGAATTAAATCCAGTGGGGTTAGGGACACTGGAAAATCACATATTTTAAAAATGTTACTTCTTTCTAACCTGAGAGAACATATACCTTGGAATTTCTAGGTCCATCAACATGACTGTATGATCAGCTATTGATGGAGGTCACCCAGCTCCCCGCTGGAAGAAGCAAAGACCACCAGCATTGAAGCGATGGTCCTCTGCCATCAACTCCACTGGACCAGCTATGTAAGGAATGAATGTTTGAATGCATGTGGAAGATAAGAAAACAGGCCTAAAAGGAAAACCAACATGAAGTTCTCGCAAGGCATGATAGGCCTTGGCAGTTGAAGCAAAGAGGCAGCAAGGCATAACTGAATGACAATGACAATAAGGTGTGCGGTCGAGCATGTAAGGATGTGCAGGTGTATCCCATAAGTCATGAGGCCTGGAATGTGAATATCCTGAACTTTGGAAAAGAACAAGGACTTGAAAGGAACAGAACAACCTGATTATTAAAAAGAGGAAAAATGGGTTTTTACCTATAAATGCAGGGGACACCAAGTAGATGCACGTTTCCTGATACGCGGTAACGGGAACGTCCACACCTCCTCAGAAAAGACTGATCATCTTTGCCGGAGGCAGGCCCGTAGCTAGGATTTCGATTCGGGGGGGGGGGGCTGAGGTTTTTTGGGGGGGCGGGGGGCTGGGTCTGAGTGAAAGAGGGTCTACCCTAGCAAACCTTTTGTATCATTACCCCAATACCCCCATGCATATGGGATATATTGAGTATGGTGATCAGATCATGATATGAATAAACATAACATTTTAAATAATGCACCAGTAAGGCCTTTTCGCGAACCACCATGAGAATTTGGGGGGGGGGCTGAAGCCCCTCAAGCCCCCCACCCCCACCCCCGGCTACATGCCTGGCCGGAGGAGTCCTGTGTGTGCATGAGTATGCGTGAATGTGTGTGTGCACGAGAGCTCTCCTTGATGTGATTCTCATATGATCCTGTGATGATTGTATTTCAATAACTGTTACATGAATAGTGTCAAAAACCAAATTTGGTCTCTCAAGTGTCTCATTGATCTAAACTACCTTACTATTCCTTGAACACTCTGTTACATGAATAGTGTCAAAACCAAATTTGGTCTCTAAAGTGTCTCATTGATCTAAACTACCTTACTATTCCTTGAACACTCTGCACAAAGAACAGGAACCTCTTTGGGTTCATAACAGCTATGTTGTCCGAGCGCCCATTCACTGTCTCCCAAAGCAGTCACTCTACTGCAAACTCAAGAACGGAAAATGGAATGTTGGAGAGCAGGAAAACGTTCTCCATTTGAGATGGGCTCAAAGCCAACCTTAAAAACTGTGGCATAGATACCAAGAACTGGGAAGCCCTGGCCCTTGAATGCTCTAACTGGAAGTCAGCTGTGACCAGCAGTGCTGCAGAATTCCAAGAGGCAAAAATGGAGGGCAAAAGGGAGAAATGTGTCAAGAGGAAGACACGCCAAGCCAACCCTGACCGGAACTGCCTTCCATCTGGAAACCGATGTCCTCACTGCAGGAGAACATGCGGATCAATAATAGGACTCCACAGCCACCTATAGACCCACCGCCAAGACACCACATCTAGAAGACAATCATCCTCGAGCTACAAGGGATCACCTAAATAAGTAAAGTAAAGGAGGTCACCAATGGCTACAACTAAGGTCACCAAGTCAAGACAATTCCATGCTCACAAGATCTCAGAGACAAATGTGAGGCCCAATGTGATGTTACAGACCCAACTGTGGTAGCCTTTCACTGGTCATTAAGGGAGCCCCCAGTGGTTAAACCCTTGTGCCGGCAGGACTGCTGACCAAAAGGTTGGCGGTTCAAATCCGGGGAGTGGGGTGAGCTCCCATCTGTCAGCTCCAGCTACTCATGTGAGAACATGAGAGAAGCCTCCCACAGGATGGTGGGAGGCTCTTGACACAGGATGGTGGGAGGCTCCTGACACAGGATGGTGGGAATTGCAGATGGCCAATTCTCTCACACCAGAAGTGACTTGCAGTTTCTCAAGTCACTCCTGACTTGAAAAAAAAACTGGTAGTGAAGCACATCACATAAATCATCAATCATATTTGTGCAGACGATGCCATTCCAATAAAAACGCCAAGTCTGACAAATGAAGTCTGACAAATGAAGAGTAGATACATGCAAGGTTGTGCTCTCATCCTGAATTTCCTCCCTACCTAGCTCTGAGGACCGGAAAGGAAGGTCTTTGGACTCAGGGTGCATCTACTCTACCAACCTGATGCAACGTGACTTTGCTTTAATTGCTATGGATCAACGCCATGGAATCTTTGGGGTTGTAGTATTGCAAATTCTTTATCCATCTCTATCAAAGAATGCTGGTGCCTCGCCAAACTCCAGCTTCTATAGAATCATAGAATCATAGAATCAAAGAGTTGGAAGAGACCTCATGGGCCATCCAGTCCAACCCCTGCCAAGAAGCAGGAATATTGCATTCAAAGCACCCTGACAGATGGCCATCCAGCCTCTGTTTAAAAGCTTCCAAAGAAGGAGCCTCCACCACACTCCGGGGCAGAGAGTTCCACTGCTGAACGGCTCTCACAGTCAGGAAGTTCTTCCTCATGTTCAGATGGAATCTCCTCTCTGGTAGTTTGAAGCCATTGTTCCGCGTCCTAGTCTCCAGGGAAGCAGAAAACAAGCTTGCTCCCTCCTCCCTGTGGCTTCCTCTCACATATTTATACATGGCTATTATATCTCCTCTCAGCCTTCTTTTCTTCAGGCTAAACATGCCCAGCTCCTTAAGCCGCTCCTCACAGGGCTTGTTCTCCAGACCCTTGATCATTTTAGTCGCCCTCCTCTGGACACATTCCAGCTTGTCAATATCTCTCTTCAATTGTGGTGCCCAGAATTGGACACAATATTCCAGGTGTGGTCTAACCAAAGCAGAATAGAGGGGTAGCATTACTTCCCTAGATCTAGACACTATGCTCCTATTGATGCAGGCCAAAATCCCATTGGCTTTTTTTGCCTCCACATCACATTGTTGGCTCATGTTTAACTTGTTGTCCACGAGGACTCCAAGATCTTTTTCACACGTACTGCTCTCGAGCCAGTGTCCCCCATTCTGTATCTTTGCATTTCGTTTTTTTCTGCCCAAGTGGAGTATCTTGCATTTGTCCCTGTTGAACTTCATTTTGTTAGTTTTGGCCCCTCTCTCTAATCTGTCAAGATCGTTTTGAATTCTGCTCCTGTCTTCTGGAGTATTGGCTATCCCTCCCAATTTGGTGTTGTCTGCAAACTTGATGATCCTGCCTTCTAGCCCTTCATCTAAGTCATTAATAAAGATGTTGAACAGGACCGGGCCCAGGACGGAACCCTGCTTATGGCACTCCGCTCGTCACTTCTTTCCAGGATGAAGAGGAAGCATTGGCGAGCACCCTCTATGATTCTATAGTATTGAACCATGGCAGTTAAACAGGTGTCAAGCAGCATTAATTTGACAGTGTAGATGCACTGTCTAGAACAAGCCTAGAGATCTGGAAACTTTATCTGCAATGCTTAGGCTCTGTCCCTAAACGGCACAGCATTATGTGTCATTGGGAAGTTGGCTTTAGCACCTCACAGACCCTTTTGGTCCCTCTTCAAGGAGCCTTGGAAACTCTTTTCTCACTTACCATGTCTCCTGGAGGGGCGCTGAGCAGCCATAGGGTGCTGAGAATGGTGCTGGTGATGTTGATCTCAGGGATGGTGTCTTTGTAGTCCTCCAGGTTTGCCGTGCCCTTGGTGGATGGAGGGGGTTTCCTCATCGATGATGGAAAGTTGGGCATCCAAGAGCCAAAATCAAACTATCCAAAAATTCAAATAAGAACATGACATGCAGTTACAGGATGGTAGATGCCCTAAGGCAACCAGTATTTTAAAAACTCTAAAATTATAACAGTAAATAAATAGCAAAACTCAAACACAATTTTTGTCCTTTGGGAGTTGTAGTTTCTGGGATTTATAGTTCGCCTACAATCAAAGAGCATTCTGAACTCCACCAATGATGGAATTGAACAGACACCTACACCCAGAGAGCATTGTAGACTCAAACAATGATGGAACTCGACCAAACTTGGCATGAATACTCAATATGCCCAAATGTGAACACTGGTGGAGTTTGGGGAAAATAGACCTTAATATTTGGGAGTTGTAGTTGCTGGGATTTATAGTTCACATACAATCAAAGAGCATTCTGAACTCCACCAGTGATGGAATTGAACAGACTCAGCATACAGAACTCCCATAACTAACAGAAAATACTAGAAGGGTGTGGTGGACATTGACCTTGAGTTTTGGAGTTGTAGTTCACCTACATCCAGAGAGCACTGTGGACTCAAACAATGATGGATCTGGACCAAACTTGGCATGAATACTCAATATCCCAAATGTGAACACTGGTGGAGTTTGGGGAAAATAGACCTTGACATTTGGGAGTTGTAGTTGCTGGGATTTCTAGTTCACCTACAATCAAAGAGCATGGCCAAATTTCCCACACAGAACCCCCATGACCAAATACTGTGTTTTCTGATGGTCTTTGGTGATCCCTCTGAACCCCCTTGCGACCTCCCCAAGGGATCCTGACCCCCAGGTTAAGAAAAGCTGTTCTTTACTAAACTAACTAACTGGTCCTCATTGAGGACTTTAGACTTGGGTGGTGTGGGGTGGAATCCCAACACCTCCTACCTGTCCACTGTTGACTGCTGAATGCTGGGCTGAACAGGTATAAATCACCATAGTCAGGAACTTTTTCAACTCTTGCACAGATGAGAATGAGGAAGAGACACCTGGAAAAGGAAGAGAAGGTACAAATTCAAAGAATAAATCAAACCATGAGTCCTCTATAATGGTTCACAAGGTTGCAAATGCAGGACTTGGGCACACACCTTGGTTTATCATAAATCTCTACACATTCAGTAGCCACTGCACTGATCTAGCTAGTCCTTGATTCATAAAAACCAGTTTTGCACAGTGAAGGTTCTCTCAATGTCTCTCCACTTTCTGGGCTTCCAAGAGTCACCAACAATGGTGCATCCATTCCTCCATGGCCCTGATCCCCATTTTATGTCCTCCCCAGTGATTCTGTGCTTATCTGTCCTACAGTTTAAACTTCAATGAATGATATCAATGTGGTATACAACAACAAAAATATGGGGTTCTTTATCTAACCAATTACAGATGCTTCACCCATATTCATTGCTATAGGGCAGTGGTTCTCAACCTGTGGGTCCCCAGATGTTTTGGCCTTCAACTCCCAGAAATCCTAACAGATAGTAAACTGGCTGGGATTTCAGGGAGTTGTAGGCCAAAACACCTGGGGACCCACAGGTTGAGGACCACTGCTATAGGAAACTGACAACCAGATAAGGAGAGGCAGCCCTACCAGAAGACTCTTGGCCCATAAAACCTTTCTCAAAGACCTCCTCCATCCACTTCTGCAGCTCACAATCTTCCTTCACAGAATGATCATTTGGATAATACAAGTTGATGATGTCGGAGACGAATCTAAGAGAAGGAAACCAAAGAAGAGGGCAGTCAGGACATTGTTCACCAGCACGCTTTGGTCTCTCACTGATTTACACGTTGAAATTAGCAAACCATATCTATGCTCCTGGAGCCAACATGTGGGTCAGAACCAGAGCTCGAGAGTGTTTCCTTTTTTAGATTATAGCTCCCAGTATCCCCCAGCTATTGTGGTTAAAGTAAAACAACCTATCCTATAATTCCTGGGTCCATGTGGATAGCTTGGAGAAGTTCGGCTTTGGACTGAAAGCCCTAATATCCTCCAGATAGCACCCATAATTTATTTATTTATTTACAGTATTTATATTCCACCCTTCTCACTCCACAGGGGACTCAGGGCATATCACAATGCACATATACATGGTAAACACTCAATGCCATAGACACACAACATATATAGACAGACATACAGAGGCTATTTAACTTCCAGCTTCATGAGGGTATGCTTTGAATTCCCGCCACCGGGGGAGCTGTTGCTTCACCGTCCACTTGTGACACTGATGGAGTACTTCCTCATTTTTTTGCACACCGTTGGAGAGTTTTATGGCATCGTAAATTAGCTAAATTAGCCTCCACACATAAACGGTACCTAAATTTCCTACTTGACAGATACAACTGTCTTTCGGGCTGCAAAGCTCGACACCAAACTAGACAAATGGTCGGAAGCTTACTCTGACCTGGGCTGGTATTTGAAGTCATGACCTTTTGGTCAGTAGTGATTTTTAATGCAGCTGACTCCCAACCAGCTGCGCCACAATCCGATCCTACTTGTGATCATAAGGCAAACAATCTAATTATTTTTTTTACCTGGGGTATTTATTCCCCTGGATAGCTTGGAGAAGTTCCACTTTTGACTGAAAGCCCCAATATCCCCCAGATAGCACCTATTATTTATTTATTTATTTATTTATTTACAGTTTTTATATTTTGCCCTTCTCACCCCACGGGGACTCAGGGCAGATCACAATGCACATATACATGGCAAATATTCAATGCCATAGACACACAACATATATAGAGATATAGAGGCTATTTAACTTCCAGCTTCATGAGGATATGCTTTGAATTACGGCCACCATGGGAGCTGTTGCTTTACCATCCACTTCTGACACTGATGGGGTGCTTCCTCATTCTTTTGCATGCTGCAAAGAGTTTTATGGCATCGTAAATTAGTTAAATTAGCCTCCCTGTATAAGCGGTACCTAAATGTCCTACTTGACAGATACAACTGTCTTTTGGGCTGCAAAGGTCGACAACAAGCTTACTCCGACCTGGGCTGGCATTCGAACTCATTACCTTTGGGTCAGTAGTGATTTCTAATGCAGCTGACTCCTGTAAGTAAGAGTTCATGGGTGAAAGCAATTAAGGGTGGAGGTATGCAAGAGGTAGGTTGCAGCTGGGTGTTTCTGGATATAATGAGCTAGCCTTGTGACTGATCTTCGAAGTATTTGTCTTATATTGGTGGTAGATGCTGCTGGTTTCCCCCCAGGTTTGTGGATTTTTGGTATCCTGACCTGTTTCCTGTACTCTTGGAACCCTGGAACCTTGAATCTCTGGACTGGCTTCTGACTACGGTATAGCCTCTTGATCCCTAGACTTTGCTCATTGAACTCTCAGCGTTTGCCCACTGGACTGGACCTTTTGACTACCACGTTATCTTGAACCTGCAACAGTCTTTGTTGACAGTTTTTGTTTTATATTCTGTGGCTGAGTGATATATTTTTTTTATGTTTTGGACTATTAAAACAGCCAGACAGTAAGTACTATTTTAATTAAATTGTTTAGCACAAACTGGGAGTTTGTTTGGTTCACCTCTGTCAGAATAACGGCAGAGCCCTGGCATTGTGACAACTCCCAACCAACTGCGCCACAACCCGGTCCTACTTGTGGTCATAATGCAAACAATCTAATATTTTTTTCCCCTCTGGGCTAATATGTAGTTCAAAGACATAGGCTGAAAGAGTTCATTTTTGGGTCACAACATGGCCAAAACCAAGCTACCCAGTGTGGCTGTCTGTGAGATGCTGTGAGTTGTAGATGAACTTTCCCAAGTTCATCCGGCATCAATGAGATGACCACAAGTCCCTCCAAGACCCATCAAGTCCAACACAAATGGATACAAATAAATAGTTTAACAGCCACCACAACTGCCCCCAACTAACCTCTCAACGGCTGCCCAGAGCTTCAGACCGTCCTCCTTGTAGTAATAATGGGGCAACGAGGACACTCCGCGAGCCTCCAGGTCTTCCGGAAGGCACAGTGAAGTCAAAGTCAAGGCCTTAGTTCCTTTTTGCAACAGTTTCACCATGCCCTCGAAACCAAGAGCAGTTTGCTATGATAAGAAGGAATAGGAACATTCAGAGGTATAGTCAACCTTCTGCATTTTTTCAGATACAGCATTTGTTACTCTTTCACTGCTGGATGGCCAAATCTTCTTGAGACTTAATTAATTTAAACTATTTTGAGGCCCCGGCATTGCCCATAAGGTTGTGGGTGAACTACAACTCACGTCATGCCAGGTTAACCCCCTGAAACCCCACCAGTAGTTAAACTTTGTCATATTTTGCAAGTTTGCTCTGTATGCATCACTGATGGGTTTCAGTTTGATCTCTGGCTGCAGGATAAACTACAGCTCCCACCATGGTGGGTCAGTCCCCTCAAATCCCTCCAGTAGGTGCAGTTGGTCATAGGGGTTCTGTGTGCCAAATTTGGTCCAGATCTGTCATCAGTGGTGGTCACAGTGTCTCTGGATGTAGGTGAACTACAACTTCCAGAAATGAAAATCAGTTCCCCACAAACCCCACCCGTATTTTCAGTTGATCAAGGTGGTTCTGTGTGCCAAATTAGGTCCAGGGCTATCATTGGTGGGGTCCAGAGTGCTCTTTGATTGCAGGTGAACTATAAATCCCAGTATTTACAATGGCTATAAATCAAGGTGAATTCCACCCAAACCTCTCCAGAATTTTTCTTAGGTCATGTGGGTTCTGTGTGCCAAATGTGGTCCAGGTCCATTGTCAGTGGGCGTCATAGTGACTTGTTGCAGGGTGAACTACAACTTCCATTATGTGGAGTCAATCCCCCAAACTCCTCCAGTATGTTTAGTTGCTGGTTAGTTCTGCTCTGTTTGTTGTGCAGACAAAGTTGAAAAGAGTAGGAAAGGGTTAAGGGAGAGGCAGTAGGTGGGATCATGCAAATTTCACACCAATGGAGAGAGCAAGGAACACTGGGACATGTAAAATCTAGGATGAAATTGTCCCCGAATGAAAGCATTCCTTGGGAGATGGGCAGTATGGTGTTTGGGGAGGACATTGGCAGGGGTTGGGCTACATGTTCATGGTGCTTGCTATAACCTGAAATGTCATTGGAGGAATGGCTTCTGGTGGCTCCTCAGCATTGTGGGTTAGAGCTGTTTGTGGAAGTGGGAACCTGCCTGTGGAAGTGGGCACCCCAGGCACATACACTCATACATATTTTCACTTTTATTAGGTATATAGATAGCAAATTGAAATCCTATTGGAAGCAATAGTGACCTAGGGGTGAGAAAAGCGGTATAGAAATACTGTAAATAAATAAATTATTGGTAATCTTAGTACTTAGAAGTAAGCAGGGGGTTTTCTGAATTCTGAATATCAGAGAAGTTGGTTTGGTTTGACAGAGGTGGAGTTTGGACTTGACAGATATCACGTTCAATCCGAGATGGTTGGTGTGGGGTGCTTATCTTCGGAAGTATGGATATAGTCAGAGGAGGTGAAAATCTATTTACCTGATCAAAGATCCCCCCTTTTGACATGAGGGTCTCCCGTCCCACAGTGTTGATGTGAAAAGTGTAGCGTGTGTGAGGAATCAGGAGCTGTGGAAGCAAATGGTGAGATTTAAGGTCACCTTTCCGTCCCCTGGGTCCGTTTTAATCCCAGTCTTTTATCAAGTTAAGCCAAAATCTGCAGAAGAAAAACCCAAAGAACCTTAAAGCCTGAGACTTATATTATGACCTTGTGAACTAGAACCTTATATTTTAAATTTGTGTTTTCCGGATTCTGCATCTGGAGATGCCAATCGCACACTTTCATGGACTTAGGAATTGAGCATCTGGTGGTGAAATGGGTTAAACCCTTGTGCTGGCAGGACTGAAGACTGACAGGTCAGAGATTCAAATCCGGGGAGAGAGTGGATTTAGCTCCCTCTGTCAGCTCCAGCTCCCCATGTGAGGACATGAGAGAAGCTTCCCACAAGGATGGTAAAACAGACCATAAGCCATTATTTATTTCATAACCTAGGTATTGGAGTCTGTTGATGGGGCAATGTGTTAAACCCTTGTGCCAGCAGGACTGCTGATCAAAAGGCCGGTGGTTTGAATCCAAGAAGTGGGGTGAACTCCCATCTGTCAGCTCCAGCTTCCCATGTGGGAACATGAGAAAAGCCTCCCACAGGATGGTAACTCATTTGGGAATCCCTTGGGCAACGTCCTTGCAGACAGCCAAGTCTCTCACACCAGAAGTGACTTGCAGTTTCTCAAGTTGCTCCTGACACGAAAACAAAAAGGACATAGGAGAGCAAAGGGCAGGTAGATTGGCAGCCTGATTGGAAGGCTTTGGAGGACCACAGTGGCACTAAAAAAGAAGCCTTTTTTTGCTCCCTCCCTATGCCTATCCCTCTTCGAGATTATGGGAGGGCAGTTTCAATATGATTCTAGTGTCAAAAGATTAAAAGATTTCACCTTGTAGAGTGGGTGGCATGTAGGCAGCTGGCGAATGGTGGCCAAAGCAAACACCTCTGCCAACAGGTGGGTTCGGAGCAGATGCGAGACATACTGATGGACGTGGAAGTCGGCATTGCGCACCCAGGTTTTGGCCAGGATCCAATCCCATTCAGGGTCACTTGGCAGGAAGATGGGTGATTCTGGGCCTGGGGTCTGGCTGAGCTACACAACAGTAAGAGAATAATAGAAAAATAGAGTTGGAAAAGAACAGTAGCGTTGGCCATTCCAACCCATGCCATGCAGGAGCAAATAACAGACGGCCAACCAGCCTCTGCTTCAGTGGACTACAAAGCCACATATTCCACTACTGAACAGCTCTTATCATACAGAAATTATTTCTAATGTTTAGGTGGAATCTCTTTTCCTGCAATTTGAATCCATTAACCCTTCCCCTAATCTCCATGACAGCGTTTCTCAACCTGGGGGTCAGGACCCCTCGGAGGGTCATGAGGGGGTGTCAGAGGGGTCACCAAGAACCATCAGAAAACACAGTATTTTCTGTTGGTCATGGAGGTTTTGTTTGGGAAGTTTGGCCCAATTCCATAATTGGTGGGGTTCAGAATGCTCTTTGATTGTAGGCAAACTATAAATTTCAGCAACTGCAACTCCCAAATGTCAAGGTCTATTTTCCCCAAACTCCAACGGTGTTCACAATTGGGCATATTAAATATTTGTGCCAAATTTGGTCCAGAACCATCATTGCTTGAGTCCACAGTGCTCTCTGGATGTAGTTGAACTACAACTCCAAAAGTCAAGGTCAATGCCCACCAAACTGTTCCAGTATTTTCTGTTAGCCATGGGAGTTCTGTGTGCCAAGATTGGTTCAATTCTATCGTTGGTGGAGTTCAGAATGGTCTTTGATTGCAGGTGAACTATAAATCCCAGCAACTACAACTCCCAAATGACAAAATCAATCCCCCTGCAACCCCACCAGTATTCAAATTTAGGCATATCGGGTATTTGTGCCAAATTTGGTCCAGTGAATGAAAATACATCCTGCATACCAGATATTTGCACTATGATTCATAACTGTAGCAAAATTACAGTTATGAAGTAGCAATGAAAATAATTCTATAGTTGGGGGTCAGAACAACATGAGAAACTGTGTTAAGGGGTTGCGGCATTACAAAGGTTGAGAACCACTGCTCTATGAGAACAAGTTTTCCCCTCTTCTCAATGTGACATCTTTTCAAATATTTAAACACAGCAGCCAGGTTGCATTTCAACCTTCTTTCTTCCAGATGTGGAGCAGGCCTTGATAGGAGGAAATGCCAAAAATAGGTGAGGGGAAGGTGGACAAACACATAAGGAAGGCTGGAAGTTCAGACAAAGGGATTGATTTGGGATGACGATTTTAACTTGGTGAACTTTTAAATGCATATTTATAATTGTTTATTGTTTATTTATTTACCACATTTATATACCGCCCCTCTCAGCCCACAGGCGACTCGGAGCGGTTCACAATTGACAACAATTTGATGCCTCAACAATTATAACAAGTAAAACAATAATAAAATATTGTTAAAAACATTAGCATACAATATAAGAATATAAAAAATCGTACAAAGACTTAAAAACATTATCGTGAGCGTCTCATGTCAAGTCATTATTCAATGTATATTTATAGTTGTTTGATGTATTTAACTGTATTTTATGCTATGTTTTATTGTGTTGGCACTGAATAGTGACCTGTTGGAAGCTGTCCTTCGGAAGTTTAGTAGAACGGGGCAAAAACGTTCTAAATAAATGAATAAATTAAACCTGCAACAGGCAGTTAAAAGGGTATCAAAATGCACTAATTCTGCAGTGTAGATGTACCCTTACTCTCCTCCTTCAAAGTCTTGCCTCTTTTACCACTCCTTCTCTATTTCTGCTCCTCCTCTGATCTCCAGCCATGGTGGAGATCAGAATAATGCTTTACCTGTTTTTTTTTTCATTAGTTCATCAGAATGTAGGTTGCCAAGACATACATAATGCCAACCCATGAGTAAACTTTTAAGTTCATAACCTACAACTGTCTACCTTGTTTGTTTTAGAGTCAAGAAGAGAATTCAGGAAAGCATTGTATTGAAACTTAGGCACACTTTCTCTGCTTTGGGCCTGTCCAGACAGCCCCTTTATGGCGGAAACTTCCACAATAAAAAGAAGGCTGTCCAGACAATGTTCTTGGCAGTCCTGCATTAATTCAGCACAAACCAGGAAAATCCTGGTTTGTGCCGAATTAATTTGCTAGTGGGTTTATTCCATGCCTTCTTGGAAGGTGTGGGATAAATCCAGTACTTCCGGGTCTGGGCTGCAAAATACTGCAGTCCAGACAACATTTCCACAATTTACCGGGCTAAATAAGCCTGGAAAACTGTGGGAATACCCACCCCCTCACCCAAGCCCCCAGACCCCTTAGAAAAGTAGTTAAAACTTACCTATCCTCCATTAGAAGCCTCGGACAGCTCTCCCGCTGTGTAGAAATAATGTGCCAGGAGAATGGGAGCAGGTAGGAGGGACGAAAATAACTTCTAATGGAGGGATAAGTTTTTACTACTTTTTTAAAGGGTCTAGAGGCTTGGGGGGAGGGGGGAGGGCCTCTGGACATTCGCTTGGGTTAGTCCCAAGAGAACATCTGGACACCCACGCCAGAAAGCGGACAGCGCCCACAAACAGCCCTCTGACTGCAAACACCACACAGTTGATTGAAAAACAATCCTTTTATTGAAAATAATTAAAAAGCAGCAAGTAAAAAGCACTTTAAAGAAATAGGTAAATCCAATTAGGTAAGAAGATAAGCAGGAGCAAAAATAGTCCAGGGTAAAGTTCCACAAAGTCCACTCTTCTCTAATATAATTCAGGAAAACAGGAAACATTAATCCAAGGCATGACTAGGCATTCATACATTCCAAGAATCCAAACCAATGAACAAGAAATACTTAGACAAGAATCTTCCAAGCAAAGCTTCCATGAGACAAGGCCGAGAACTACACTTGATTCCAACGATACTTCATCTGACTATATTTCCCATACTTGGCACTTTTATCCTCTCGTTAAGCTATTCCATGCACTCAGGAATTGGTTTCGCTTTACTTGAGATCCCCTTATCTTTTTCTGTCGGAGCCTGGCAGAACGCCGAAGGCACTGTTCGGCCTGTCTGTTTTGACTAATTTCCTCTCACCTATCTATTTGCTCATTAAGTTTGCAGCTGGGCCAGGTGCTCAGTTGTTTCAAGCCCCAAATCCTGGGAACTGTCTGGTAACAATTCAGGGAGTACACTACATCCCCATATCTTTCAGGGACATTCTCATGGGAAACTACACTTTGCACAGGGGTCTCCTGGTCCTTCTCTGCATCAGTATCATTGACCAAACCATTGCCATCTTGAAACTCATTGTCATCACTTCCCACATCCAAAGCACCCTGATTCTGAAACACAATCACAGTCTGAACTCCAACACTTCTTTGCTAAAGAAAGCTGAAGTTTTAACAGTTTCAGTTTTCATACTTCCCCCCCCCCCCAAAAAAAAATAGTTCTAACATCCTTGGAAACCCTCATTCTCAACATGTCCTAGTTCTCAGGGCTCCCCACGTGTTACCTGAATAGCCAAGGGCATGAGATGCTTTTCTTTGGAGAGGTGCAGCAAGCACAAGGGGACAGCAATGTACCGCTGGCACTCATTATTCAGCCCGGCCGGGACATCCTCCAGGATCTTGTAGTCCACAATGAAGATGTTGCCCTTCTGTGGTGAAGAAGAAAGACACAAACTCTGAAGAAAGAGGGAAGCTAAGGGTTTGATAGCAGGCATCCACATTGTTGGGTTTTTGGTTCAATAACCTGCTAGGTTATTAAAAGTATGAATTGTGTAATCTTCTCAATAGTAACAGTAGATTGGACAGGAAATACAGAACGCCCAAGATTCAGCAAAACCCTGCCCTCTTCTTCTGATTCTTATTTATTTACAGTATTTATATTCCGCCCTTCTCACCCCGCAGGGGACTCACAGGGGACTTACAATGCACATATACATAGTAAACATTCAATGCCATATACACACAACATATATAGACAAACACAGAGGCAATTTAACATTCCATCTTCATGAGGGTATACTCAAATTCTGGCCACCGGGGGAGCTGTCGCTTCACTGTCCACATGTGACACCAAGTCCTTGATGGAGCACTTCCTCATTCTTTCACCTGCTGCTGGAGATTTTTATGGTGTCATAAATTAGTAAAATTAGCCTGCCTGCATAAGCGGTACCTAAATTTCCTACTTGACAGATGCAACTGTCTTTTGGGCTGCAAAGGTCAACAGCAAGCTAGACAAATGGTCGGGAGCTTACTCCGACCTGGGCTGGCTTCGAACTCATGACCTTTCGGTCAGTAGTGATTTGATTGAAAGCAGATAATCTGGATTGTATATGGCTGCAGTGAAGGAGCCAGTAAAAAAGAAAGAAAGAAAGAAAGAAAGAAAGAAAGAAAGAAAGAAAGAAAGAAAGAGTAAACGTATAAAAGTATTGACTCACAATACACAGGTCATCTCCTTGAGGAAAAGTGATAAAGTTCTGCAAAGCAATCCCGTAAATGGAACTGATCTCATAGCAGAGACAAGCTCTGACCCTTAAAACCCATGATTGGGGATCCAAGAGAGAACAAAGAGCAGGAGTAAATGGGCTTTTATCATGTTGCTAGACCAAAAAGTTCATATATGACCATAGGAAGAAGGGCCGTTCTATAGCACAGCTGGTCAATTACCACCAGCAGCAATAACGTCTGCTAACGGAAAGATTGCCAGTTTGAAGCCCAGGTTGGTGAGCACCTTACTGTCAGCCCAGCTCACTGTTTACCTAAGCAGTTTGAAAACAGTTTAGAGCTGTAAGTAGAGAAATTAGATACCGCTAAAAAAACGGGGGAGGTTATGACACCATAAAAGAAAATGACCAGAAAATGCCTGGTGACCCAAAAAAAAGGAGAGAAGTCCTGATGGCCCTTCATCATAGAGGTTGGAGTGACAGCACCTCCCTGTGGCTGGATTCGAGTACAACCTCCAAAACGCCAAAAAGCTGGACATCAACACAACATACCTCCTTTCTGTCTGTTCTGTCCTGTTTGTCCAAACAGCACTGAATGTTGCCATGTATGTGTACCATGGGGAAACTATGACTGTGATCCGCCATGAAAAGGTAATTTTTAGGGCTGGGCGGTTTCGTTCGTTAATTTCGTAATTCGTTAATAATTCGTTATTTTTCTTGATAACGAAGCGATAACAAACCATTCAGGAGCAACTAAAAAACGAAACGAATTTTTAAAGCTATTTCGTAATTGTTTTGTAATTGTTTTGTTATTATTTCCGTATGTCTGGTGCAAGTTTTATAGTTGTTTCCCTCCCCTCTCCCTGGTTGCAAGCGGTCGGCATTTACCCCACTTCCGGGTCCCTGGCCTCTGCTTAAGTGGATCAAATTCTCCTCTCCTCCTGTCGTCACCTCACCTCGTTCCTCACTCTGGCCTGCGTGCATTGGGCAAAGAGACACAGCAGTGCAGCACTCAGAGACCTGCCTGTTGCCTGCCTAACCTCTTTCCTTCTCCAGGTTAAAACTATTATTATTATTATTATTATTATTATTATTATTATTATTATTATTAAGAATGGATGGCCATCTTTCAGTAGTGCTTTCACTGTGCCTTACATGCACGAAGGCAGAAAGTGGTTTGTTATTATTATTATTATTATTATTATTATTGAGAAGCATTGTCAAACCAGAATAGAGATCTCACCCCTCCTCTCTCTCTCTTTCCCCCCCTCTTTCCTTCTCCAGGTTAAAACCATTATATTTATTTTATTATATTTATTATTATTATTATTATTATTATTATTATTATTATTATTATTATTAAGAATGGATGGCCATCTTTCAGTAGTGCTTTGACTGTGCCTTACATGCACGAAGGCAGAAAGTGGTTTGTTATTATTATTATTATTATTATTATTATTATTATTGAGAAGCATTGTCAAACCAGAATAGAGATCTCACCCCTCCTCTCTCTCTCTTTCCCCCCTCTTTCCTTCTCCAGGTTAAAACTATTATATTTATTATATTTATTATTATTATTATTATTATTATTAAGAATGGATGGCCATCTTTCAGTAGTGCTTTGACTGTGCCTTACATGCAGGAAGGCAGAAAGTGGTTTGTTATTATTATTATTATTATTATTATTATTATTATTGAGAAGCATTGTCAAACCAGAATAGAGATCTCACCCCTCCTCTCTCTCTCTTTCCCCCCTCTTTCCTTCTCCGATTAAAACTATTATTTAAAACTATTATTTTCACGTTGTGCAACCGCGTCCGCCATTTTAACGAATTGATTCGTTAACATTAACGAAATTTCGTAAATATCAAACTTTTAAAAAGGAAAATTTTGTAATTATTTTAAATAACGAAACGCAAAAAACCCCAAAAAACGAATCGATTTTAGAAACAAATTTTTCCGTTGTTACCCAGGCCTAATGACTTTGGATAACGTGGTTAACAGTGAAGTCATTGTTTTAAATGTTTAAATATATTTTATAATTCTATTTAAATGTTTATTTTAACTGTTCATTATCTAAAGGCATCAAATAGTTGCCTAAGTGTAAGCCGCCTTGAGTTGCCTCCAGAGTGGAGAAAGGCAGGGTAGAAATAATGTAAATAAATAAGGCAGATTATTATTATTATTATTATTATTATTATTATTATTATTATTATAACATGCAGACCAGAGCTAAGATTGTTAATCAGACATTTTTGCAACTAATTCAACTGTGCATGCAGACTTTCTATCCCAACACACATGAGTGGACACCTCCTCATATTTATGTCAAGGAGTTTCCAGGATTTTGAGTTGTACTTGCTTGGACTAATGCTTCTCAAATCCCCCAACCAGAATGGCACATCCTCCAGTGTTTTCTAAATGAAATCCACCACACTTTGAACAGCAAAAGTAATCTACTCTCCAAATCAGTTTGAACTCAGCTGGAGAGCATGACTTGGACACTGGGTGAAGTACAGCTAGTATCACCTAAAAAGTGACTTGTTCTCACAATATTTATTTATATATTCTTTATTTACAATATTTATATGCCACCCTTCTCACCCCTAAGGGGGCTCAGAGCGGCTTACAAGTCATATCTACATAAAACATACTATATTATTAGCATAGGACTAATACATCATTCATAATATTGGTATTAGATAATATTATATTGTTGCTGGAGAAGGGGCTCTGATGCCGCAGGAGACAAGATGGAACTGTCTTCTCTGCTCCCTTCTTTACTCTTTACAATAGGCCCTCAGATCACCTAACGCCTGCTTCTTTTTATACCTCCAGCTCATTTTCCAGCGTAGTATCATCTCCAAGGGACTTGGTCACCATCTCATTGGTCACGGGGAAATTTGGAGGGATCTTGGTGCATCTCTGGATCATTCTTGGATTCAATCCGTTCAGGAACTGGTACCCAAAGAAAGCATCTTCTTTCCAGTGCTCTGTGACGTATTCTAGAATAGAGAACAAGAATTCAATTGGGCAAGATCCATTTACAACGGTGGTTCCCAACCTATGATCCATGGACCACCAGTGGTCCCCAAGAACTAAAATATGGTCTGCGGCCTCACCATTACTACACCATTACAATAAGAGCGACTCGTCTCGCAAAACCCTCTTATAGTCCTGAGCCAATGAGGACTTTTTTAAAATCAGGAGTGACTTGAGGAACTGCAAGTTGCTTCTAGTGTGAGAGAATTTGCCGTGTGCAAGGAAGTTGCCCAGGGGATGCCCAGATGTTTGATGTTTTACCATCCTTGTGGGAGGCTTCTCTCATGTCCCTGCAGGCAATGGGGAGAAGCTGACTACCCACAAAAGGGGTGACAACAAGCCTTTCTTGTCCTCCTCCCTCCCCCTGAGTGGAGCCATTCAAACTACAAGAAATGAGATTCCATCTGAACATGAGGAAGAACTTCCTGACTGTGAGAGCCGTTCAACAGTGGAACTCTCTGCCCTGGAGTGTGGTGGAGGCTCCTTCTTTGGAAGCTTTTAAACAGAGGCTGGATGGCCATCTGTCAGGGGTGATTTGAATGCAATATTCCTGCTTCTTGGCAGGCGTTGGACTGGATGGCCCATGAGGTCTCTTCCAACTCTTGAATTCTATGATTCTATGATTCTATGTGGCACCTGGAAGCCTCACACGTTGCATGATGTGTTCTGCATACAAGTTGAATAGGTTGAGTGAGAGTATATAGTCCTGCTGTACTCCTTTCTCAATGTAGTTCTGTGGTCTGTTCTTACTGTTGCTACTTGATCCTTATACAGATTCCTCAGAAGACAGGCAAGGTCGCTTGGTATCCCCATACCATCAAGAACTTGCCACAATTGATTTTGATCCACAAAGGCTTTGGAATAGTCAATAAAACAGAAATAGATGTTTTTCTGAAACTCCCTGCCTTCCTCAATTATCCAGCATCCGGATATTGGCAATTGGGTCTCTCGTTCATCTGCCTTTCCTGAACTCAGTTTGTACATCTGGCAACTCTCTCTCCATGTGTTGCTGGAGTCTTCCTTGCAGGATCTTCAGCATTACCTTACTGGCATGTGAAATAATTGACACTGTATGAAAGTTTGAGCATTCTTTAGCATTTCCATTTTTTTTTTGTATGGGGATATAAGTGTTGTGCTATGCTAATAATATAATATATCGTATGTACACTCTGAGTCCCCTTTGGAGTGAGAAGGGTGGCATATAAATGTCACAAATAAATAAATAAATAAGTTAATTTTTTCCCCAATGTGATAGCCATTCTTATGTTTTCCATATTTGCTGGCATATGGCATGCATCACCTTGACAGCATTATCTTTCAAGATATTAAACAATTCATCTAGGATCCCGTTGTCTCCTGCTGCCTTGTTGTTAGCAATGCTTCTTAAGGCCCATTCAACCTCACTCCTCTGGTTCTAATTCACTCACCACACTGTCAAAGCTATCCTTGATATTATTGTCCTTCCTATACAGATATGCTTTATACAGCTCTAGATTATTAAATATGGTTTTCTGTGGGTGAGCAGATGGGGACTACTGGATGACATATGTTCTGTATCAGAAATGAGAGTTGATGTGGTCTATCCAATGCAATTTTCTGAATCAGCACCCCAAATAACCAAACCAAATCTAAAGTTGACCAAAAACTGAATTGTAGTCCTTTTGGTACTAATGTTAGAGAGTGGTCCCTGGTCAAAGTGGTCTCTGGTCAAAAAAAGGTTGGGAACCACTGATTTACAAGAAGGGACTAAGTCTGGAGTGATTTACAAGAAGGGACTAAGTCTGGAGTGATTTACAAGAAGGGACTAAGTCTATTGTTTAACACCTATATGCGTCTACTTGCTCAGCTGGTTCGAGGATTTGGGCTTGAGTGTTACCAGTACACTGATGACACTCAGCTGGTGCTGAAGATGGAAGGCCGACCAGACTCTGTACCTGATTGTTTCCATCAGTGCTTCGAGGCCGTTACTGGATGGCTGCGTGCCAGCAGGTTGAGGGTGAATCCAGCAAAGACGGAGATCCTATGGCTGGGTTGACCGGGCAGTGGGGATATCCAGCTGCCTACCCTGGATGGTGAGGCGCTATGCCTGTCATTGTTGGTAAAGAGTCTGGGAGTCCTTTTGGACCCTCTGCTGACGATGGAGGCCCAGGTCTCCACCGTGAGCAGAACCGCCTTTTTTCATCTGTGGCAGGCTAGACGGCTGGCCCTCGACCTGTCCAGGGATGACCTAGCTACGGTGATCCAGGCCACGGTCATCTCAAGACTGGACTACTGTAACGGCCTCTACACTGGCCTTCCTCTGTCGGTGATCCGGAAGCTCAAGTTGGTACAAAATGCAGCAGCTCGGCTTCTTGTGAGAGCTCCAATGAGATGCCACATAACACCAATCTTACTGCAGCTGCATTGGTTACCAATTGACCACCGGATCACTTTCAAAGTGATGGTACTTACCTTTAAGGCCTTATATGGTCTGGGGCCGATGTACCTGAGGGACCGCCTCACCCCCTACCAACCCCAGAGATCCCTCCGTTCTGAGGACCAAGATTTATTGGAAGCTCCCAGTTTTAAGACCTTACGTCTAACAGCAACCAGACGCAGAGCCTTTACAGCAGTGGCACCATCGCTCTGGAACACTCTGCCACCTGAAGTCCGTGCCTTAAGGGATTTATCAGCGTTCTGCAGGGCATGTAAGACATATTTGTTTCAACAGGCTTTTGATCTTTGATATTGCTGGTTTTTAAAAATTGTTTTAGATTTTAGTCTGTTCTTGTAAGCCGCTCTGAGCCCTAGGGGAGTGGTGGCATATAAGTTTGAATAATAAATAAATAAATAAATAACTAAATAAAATTGCTTTTGCACATTGAACTCAGTTTGAAGCAAAGAAAGTGGGAAGAAGCAGCTGAAAAGATTGGTCAACAGAGGCCCCATATCAGGACAGTCTATAAGATGTGGATTTTAGCAGGACTTCCATCTTACCTGAAATATCTGACTTGTTGAACCAGAAAACGTCCTTGATGTCCTCTAACTTCTCCCAGGATTCTTGGCTGTCAGAGTAACCTCTCAGCTTGAGCTCTATTGTCCTAAAGGGCGAGAAATCATCTTTGGGGTGGCTGTGAGTGGTATAGCTTAACATTTACTCCAACCATGCAGCAATTCCCTAGCCGAAGCAATGATTACTACTTGAAATATTTAATACAATATTCCACTTGTCATTACAATAAGCAATACAACCCTGCTCAAATCCTCCCTCACCTCTTCCCCACACAACTCACTTGCTTGCTCCACGTTCAGCAAAGAGGGCCCCTTTGGTGAAGGAAAATTTGACCTCACTTTCTAGCTCCGTCATAGATGAGACATCCAGACAGTGGGGGATACCTTCCGCAAATACCTTCCACCTGTATGGAGGGAGAGGAATCAAAATGGTTTAGACCTGAAATATCCCATCCTAGGCTGGGGGATGCTAGGAGCTGTAGTTCCCAAAAGCGCAGACATTAAGAAGACTTTTTGCTGCCAACTTTGGGAGGTTTGATGTTTCCTGTCAAAGGGTGGCTCACATCAGAGGTTGAAGAAGTTGGTACTGTGGGCATCTCTCCTTCCAACCCAGGTTGGAACAGATCCCAAGAATCAATAGGAACATGAGGTTCTTTAGCTGAAGCAATGGCTGGGTCTGATTTTTAGCTCACCTCAAAGATTGAATTCACTCACCCATAATCAGACTGCCTCTTCTGAAGCTCCTTAATCCGGAAGTCTTTGAGTAAGGGTAACGTATCCATGGCAGGGGTTTTAGCTGGAGGAACAAACATAGAAAAGGTTGGCCTGTAGGTTTTATCTTTACTTATCATGTCAAAAGCAAACTGAGGCTACAGTTGTAATTTACCGTATATTCCAGCATATAAGACGACTGGGCGTATAAGACGACCCCAACTTTTCCAGTTAAAATATAGAGATTGGGATATAAGACTACCCCTCTTCCAACACACACCAAATAAAATTTTTTAAAGCATCAGATTTGATTTTAATATGGTAATTTTCCTATTACTGTATCTCCTTCTCTGCCTCTCAGATCTCGCAAATGCGCACCTGCACCACTTCACTGCAGTCTTGAAGAGCGAGATCTGAGAGGTAAAGGAGGAGGTACGGTAATAGGATACAAAGGCGGGCCAGACAGGTAAAAGAGTTGTGTTTTTCTGGGCCCAGAGCCACTCTATCTCTTTTTTCCATACCCCGGGCGCCCCAGACGCCTGCAGCTTGCTCCGCCCTTCACTTACACCTTCCCAGTGAGACACCCCTTCACCTCACCATCGGGATCGCATTAAGTCCATGAATCCTGATGAATGGATTTTCTTCTACTATACTTGTACAGCATCACCCTTAATGCTTTCATACAGTCACTGCATATGGCAGGGATGCGGCCACTGCCATTTTTGAGCTCCCCCCACCACCACCACCACCATATGCAGCAACCACAGATTCTCCAATCCAGGTTGGAAGGTTCAGCACCCACTCTATATGACGACCCCCAGTGTATAAGACTACTCCCGCATATAAGATGACTTCCATGCATAAGGCTACTCCAGCATATAAGACGACTCCTGCGTATAAGACGACCCCTGACTTTTGAGAAGATTTTCTTGGGTTAAAAAGTAGTCTTATATGCCAGAATATACAGTATTTAAAAAGCACAAAGTTTAAAAAACTTGGCATTATACTAAATGTCCTTTGACCAGTAGCTGGCCACTTGGAGTGCCTCTGGTGTTGCTACTATAAGGAGGTCCTCCATTGTGCATGCGGGCAGGGCTCAGGTTGCATTGTAATAGGTGGTCTGTGGTTTGCTCTTCTTCATACTCGCGTGTCGTGGACTCCACTTTGTGGCCCCATTTCTAAAGGTTGGCTCTGCATCTTTGGTGCCAGAGCAGAGTCTGTTTAGCACCTTCCAAGTTGCCCAGTCTTCTGTGTGCCCAGGAGGGAGTCCCTCATTTGGTATCAGCCATGGCTTGGAGTTCTGCGTTTTAGCCTGCCACTTTTGGACTCTTGCTTGCTGAGATGTTCCTGTGAGTATCTCTGTAGGTCTTGGAAAACTATTTCTTGATTTTAGGCGTTGGAGTGCTGGCTGATATCCAAGCAGGGGATGGGCCAGAGATGTCACTGCCTTGGTCCTTTCATTACAGGCTCCTATTTCCCAACAGATGTCAGGTGGTTCAATAGTTGCTGAACAGTATAATTTCTCCAGTGGTGTGGGGCGTAGACATCCTGTGATAGTGCAGCATGTCTCATTAAAAGCCACACCCACTGTTATAGCATGGTGAGATGTGTTTCACACTGGGTATGCAGAGAAACAAAGCACAAGGGCAGATGTCTTCATTATATCCGGTTGTGATCCCCAGGTTGTGCCAATCAGCTTTCATATGATATTGTTTCTAGCACCCACTTTTTTGCTTGATATTCAAGCAGTGCTTCTTGTAGGTCAGAGCATGGTCCAGGGTAACTCCCAGGTATTTGGGTGTCTTGCAATGCTCTAGTGGGATTCCTTCCTAGGTAATCCTCAGAGCTCGATATTCTTGTCTGTTCTTAAGGTGAAATGCACATGTCTGTGTTTTAGATGGATTAGGAATAAGCTGTTTTCCCCTGTAATAGGCAGTAAAAGCACCTAAAGCTTCAGAGAGCTTCCATTCAACCATTTCAAAGCTCCCTGCTTCAGCAGTGATGGCACGATCATCAGCATAGATGAAACTCTTTGTCCCTTTTGGCAGTGGCTTAAGCAGCTGAGAAGAAAAGGTAAGGGACTGGGACCTTGAGGAATTGTGGGAGTTGAAATCCAAAACACCTGGGAGGCTGAAGTTTTCCCATACTTGATCTACCCCATCCTCCTCCTCAACAATTATTTTTATTGAGAAGTAAAGTAACACCAAATAGTGATGTAAATCTCAGTTATTTCATTCTAACAATACAAAAAAAATTCTAAAGGTTTGCTCCCAGCTGGGCAAGATGACAATAGTTTATGCTCATTTGTAAAGGATTTTTCACACTTTGGAATATATATATATATATATATATATATATATATATATATTTGCAAAAGCAAAAAAAAATGTGTTTATGAAAAAAAACAAATGCACCCAACCGTTTGTTATGCTGCTGATTGGGGAGAAAACCATAGAAGACCTTTCCTTTTTCCTCCTAAGACATTGACTTACCTGTTCCCTCCCTCAGCTCCAAAGTCTGGCACCCTTCCATCCACTGGTAACAAGGGAAGCGGTATTCTGCCCCTTTCGGGGATGTCACGGTGATGAAGGTGCAGTACCAGTTTGTGGCAAAGAGCTTGAGCATGCATTCTTTGTGGAGACGGAGGAGCACAATATCTCCCAGGTCGTGTTTACAGGAGACCTCATAATCACTCACCTGTAACAGAAAGGTCAGAGGATTATCAGAGCCATCAAGGGATTAGAGAGTGGAAAGCCATGTTTCAACTCTGGTTGAAGAACCCCACCTAAAACAGTTTACATGACATGCAAATAAGGTTGTTGGAATGGAAATAGAAGATGGCTTCTCCAACTTTAATGATCATCCAGAAGGAGGAATTTGAGCAGCTGATTTCCACTTTTACAAAACCACTAAAGCATTGCTTCCCAACCTGTGGTCCTTGGACCACTAGTGGTCCACAAGAACTAAAATATGGTCTGCAGCTTCACTGTTACTACATAGTTGCAACAAGAGTGGCTGGTGTTGCAAAACCCTCTTATAGTGCCAAGGCACTGAGGATGTAACACGAGCATCTGCTTGTCCAATTTTGATGGATTCATTTCAATTGGTTCAATCCGAGGATGTGGACAAGGTGCTTGGAGGAATGAGAGCTACCACATGCATCCTAGACCCCTGCCCATCCTGGCTTCTGAAGGAGGCCAGAGGGGGATTGGCCGAGTGGGTGAAGGTGGTGGTTAATGCCTCCCTTCGGGAGGGCAAAATTCCAGCCAGCTTAAAGCAAGCTGTGATAAAACCGCTGTTGAAGAAACCATCACTGGATCCCACTCAATTCGTCAACTATCGGCCTGTTTCCAATCTCCCCTTTTTGGGCAAAGTCATGGAACGTGTGGTGGCCTCACAACTCCAGGCATTCTTGGTAGACACGGATTATCTGGATCCGGCACAGTCTGGCTTTAGGCCGGGGCATGGTACTGAGACAGCCTTGGTCGCCTTAGTGGATGATCTGCGTCGGGAGCTCGACAGGGGGAGTGTGTCCCTGTTGGTGCTGCTCGACCTCTCAGCGGCCTTCGATACCGTCGACCACGGTATCCTTCTGGGACGCCTCGCGGGGATGGGTCTTGGAGGTACTGTTCTGCAGTGGCTCCACTCATTCCTCGAGGGTCGGTCTCAGAAGGTGTTACTGGGAGACTCCTGTTCAACCCCACAACCTTTGTCTTGTGGGGTTCCTCAGGGTTCAATACTGTCTCCCATGTTGTTTAACATCTACATGAAGCCGCTGGGCAAGATCATCCGGAGTTTCGGAGTGCGATGTCATCTGTACGCAGATGATGTCCAACTCTGTCACTCCTTTCCACCTGCTACTAAGGAGGCTGTCGAGGTCCTGAACCGGTGCTTGGCCGCTGTGACGGTCTGGATGGGGGCGAACAAATTGAAATTGAATCCAGACAAGACAGAGGTACTCCTGGTTAGTCGCAAGGCCGAACAGGGTATAGGGTTACAGCCTGTGTTGGACGGGGTCGCACTCCCCCTGAAGACGCAGGTTCGCAGTTTGGGTGTGATCCTGGACTCATCGCTGAGCCTGGAACCCCAGGTTTCGGCGGTGACCAGGGGAGCATTCGCACAGTTAAAACTTGTGCGCCAACTGCGACCGTACCTTGGGAAGTCTGACTTAGCCACGGTAGTCCACGCTCTGGTTACATCCCACCTTGATTACTGCAACGCTCTCTACGTGGGGTTGCCTTTGAAGACAGTCCGGAAGCTCCAATTAGTCCAACGGGCGGCAGCCATGATACTAACAGGAGCGGGGCGCAGGGAGCACACAACTCCTCTGCTGCACCAGCTCCACTGGCTGCCGATATGCTACCGGGCTCAATTCAAAGTGCTGGCGTTGGCCTTTAAAGCCCTAAACGGTTCTGGCCCAACTTATCTATCCGAACGTATCTCAGCCTATCAGCCCACCAGGACCCTAAGATCTTCTGGGGAGGCCCTGCTCTCTATCCCGCCGGCTTCACAGGTGCGGCTGGCGGGAACGAGAGACAGGGCCTTTTCTGTGGTGGCCCCTCGGCTTTGGAACACCCTCCCTATAGAGGTAAGATCAGCCCCCTCGCTGATGGTATTTCGGAAAAGACTGAAGACATGGATGTTTGAACAAGCATTCGGATAATCCGACGAAACGAATTTTGACGATTAAGGATTGGTAATTACAGACGACGAATTTGGATTGTGATTCCAGTTACGAGATGCATTTGGATTGTTATTGGTGGCCCAATAATTCTGTATGTTATATGTGTTTTTATGTTTTAAATTGAATATTGTTGTTTTTAGATGTTGTAAACTGCAATGAGTCGCCGATTAGGCTGAGATATTAGCGGTATACAAGTGTAATAATAAATAAATAAATAAATAAGGCTTATTAAATATGGTTTACTGTGGGCAAGCAGATGGCAGCTACATGTGTTCTGTTTCAGAAACTAGAGCTGATGTGGTCTATCCAATGCAATTTTTTTGAATCTGCACCCCAAATAACCAAACCAAACCTAAAATTGACCAAAAACTGATTTGTAACCCCCTTTGGTACTAATGTTGGAGAGTGGTCCCTGGTCAAAGTGGTCCCTGACCAAGTGGTCCCTGATTTTAAAAGGGTTGGGAAGCACTGCACTAAAGGGACAGAAACCCCCTCCAGTCTTTAAACATGAGCCAACAATGTGATGTGGCGGCAAAAAAAGCCAATGGGATTTTGGCCTGCATCAATAGGAGCATAGTGTCTAGATCTAGGGAAGTCATGCTACCCCTCTATTCCGCTTTGGTTAGACCACATCTGGAACATTGTGTCCAATTCTGGGCACCACAATTCAAGAGAGATATTGACAAGCTGGAATGTGTCCAGAGGAGGGCGACTAAAATGATCAAGGGTCTGGAGAACAAGCCCTATGAGGAGCGGCTTAGGGAACTGGGCATGTTTAGCCTGAAGAAAAGAGAGCAAGCTTGTTTTCTGCTTCCCTGGAGACTAGGACACGAAACAGTGGCTTCAAACTACAAGAAAGGAGATTCCATCTGACATGAGGAAGAACTTCCTGACTGTGAGAGCCGTTCAGCAGTGGAACTCTCTGCCCCGGAGTGTGGTGGAGGCTCCTTCTTTGGAAGCTTTTAAACAGAGGCTGGATGGCCATCTGTCAGGGTGCTTTGAATGCAATATTCCTGCTTCTTGGCAGAATGGGGTTGGACTGGATGGCCCATGTGGTCTCTTCCAACTCTTTGATTCTATGATTCTATGATTCTGGGTGTCATCTGAAGAGCTCTGTGCTGAAAATGAGAGGAAGCAGCATATGACAGGCAAATCAACCCATCTGATGTGGTAGTAAATATCAACAGGCTTATTTGTTTGTTTATTGATTATATTTGTTTATAACCTGATTTGTCTCCCCAGAGGTGCTTCAGGAATGTACTACAGTATAACCCCCATATCTGTGGGGAATGTTTCCAGCCAAACTGTGGTTCCATAAAACCATGGATATGGACAAGCACCAGAGAAATTGTCTATGTATATTGTGAATGTGAACTCTCCAGGATTCTGAAAGTTGTAGTCCAAAAGCTAATTCTTCTAAGATCTCTTTCCAGCATTGCATTTGAGTTGCTAGCCATATATTATAAAAAGATAGACAGACAGAGAACTTCATCAGATAATGGCAGTGAAGTGTCAACAACAACAACAACAACAACAACAACAACAACAAAACTTTATTTATATACTGCTCTATCTCCCCGAGGGGACTCAGAACGGTTTCCAAGTAACATCATCAATGTTGTTGTTGTTGTTCATTCGTTCAGTCACTTCCGACTCTTTGTGACCTCATGGACCAGTCCACACCAGAGCTCCCTGTCGGCCGTCACCACCCCCAGCTCCTTCAAGGTCAAGCCAGTCACTTCAAGGATACCATCCATCCATCTTGCCCTTGGTCGGCTCCTCTTCCTTTTTCCTTCCATTTCCCCAGCATCAATACATACAAACAACATAACCATAAGATTAACAAAACAATAAGCATAAAATTGTCACAATAACACATAAATATTAAAAGTAATCCTGCCTGTTCAAGGCAATTTAAAAGGCCGGGCCAAGATTAGTGCAAGCTCAAAATTTCTAAGGAGCCTGGGAATTAAGTGTGGTGCTATAGCAGGCAACAACAACAATAAGTACGGGTCTATGGCTGTTCATTTTTGGAGACTATTAGAGGAAGTGACCTGGGTAATTGGTAGAAAGAATAAGGCCATATTCAACAATGTCCAGGGCTGAGCTAGTATTAGTCATTCTCAAAAGCCTGTTGAAACCACCAGGTCTTCAAGGTCTTACGAAAGGAAGGGAGAGTTGGGGGATGGGGCCTATCTAATTTCCCTGGGGAGGGTGTTCCAGAGGCAGGGGGCCACCACTGAGTAGGCCCTCTCTCTCATCCCCACCAACCGTACTTGGGATCGTGATGGGAGCGAAAGGAGGGCCTCTCCACTTTTCTGCAATGCCGGCACAGAGTCCCCCTGAGTGCATCACATGATGCAAGGCTACTTCTGGTGGGACCACATAGGACTCCATGCTGACAACATGCCAACAGTGGAGAGAAATGGAGTCTGGGGGTGTTTGCTCATATGTGTATGGGTATTGCTCATTTTTAAAAGGCAGAGGAGTCAAAGGGAATACAGGGAACAGCAGAGAAATGGCATGGAAATGGATGGCATGGGAACACAGCCAGAAGGTTCCCTATGCTGCCCCACCTTTCCCCTGCTTTTCAAAGGGCCATCCGATGCACTACAGAGACAAAAAAAATAGGACATAATGCTCTGTGACCCAATGTCCTACTCCCCTTCCTGACCATCTTTTCCCCACTTACCGCACCGGTATAGAAGTCCACTCCCCAGTTGTCCAGGGCAGTTTTGGGGCTCTCTCCCTCAGTTCCAACCAAAGTGATGGAAATGGAGTCGAACGTCCCTGAATGGACAAGGTTCCCCGTTGTCACCCGGACATTGTACTTGACATCCATATCTCTGCAGCTCAGTTACTATGCCTTGAGATTGTGCATTCAACAGAGAGCTGAAATCTCAGTCTGTCCTGCAGCTCTCAAAACCCCTTTGCCTGGATGATGGGATTTATAGCAACCCAGCTTCCATTAGGCAGGGTTCCCACCCTTTCAACCACAGTGGCAACTCCCCTGGAAAGAGAGACGGGCCAAGAACCAGGTTGTTTGCTGGGTACTAGAAGGACAAAGGTGGATGTTTGGAGAAAGAGATTTGTCCTGTGGTTTATTTATGGATCATTTCACTCCACCCAACAGATTAGCAAATTCTGGTTCTGCAAGACAGAAATGTCACCAGTCTACATTTAACAAGAAGTGCCTTTCTATGATTAGATTGTTGTTGTAAACATGTGCAGAAGAAATGCAGAAGCAAAATCTGGCTCATTGAGAAAGGCCAACAGTTCAAGTGTTGGATGGAACAAGATCAAGATGGGATTTAGGTTCTCCAAGTCAGGGTCTTGGAGGTCTTGAATATCAGGGTCTAGTCCTCAATCTCAGCGCCTGGACCCTCTTCTCCAGGTCCCAAGACAAAGAGGAGGAATCTCAGGGTGAGAACATTGCCTTCCAAAATGTGTGTATGTGTCCATTTGGAATATGATACCCAGTGCTGTTACATGATGTGGCGGCAAAAAAAGCCAATGGGATTTTGGCCTGCATCAATAGGAGCATAGTGACTAGATCTAGGGAAGTCATGCTCCCCATGCTCTATTCCGCTTTGGTTAGACCACACTTGGAATATTGTGTCCAATTCTGGGTACCACAATTGAAGGGAGATATTGACAAGCTGGAATGTGTCCAGAGGAGGGCAACTAAATGATCAAGGGTCTGGAGAACAAGCCCTATGAGGAGCGGCTTAAGGAGCTGGGCATGTTTAGCCTGAAGAAGAGAAGGCTGAGAGGAGATATGATAGCCATGTATAAATATGTGAGAGAGCCACAGGGAGGAGGGGGCAAGCTTGTTTTCTGCTTCCTTGGAGACTAGGACGTGGAACAATACAAGAGAGGAGATTCCATCTGAACATGAGGAAGAACTTCCTGACTGTGAGAGCCGTTCAGCAGTGGAACTCTCTGCCCCGGAGTGTGGTGGAGGCTCCTTCTTTGGAAGCTTTTAAACAGAGGCTGGATAGCCATCTGTCAGTAGTGCTTTGAATGCAATATTCCTGCTTCTTGGCAGAATGGGGTTGGACTGGATGGCCCATGAGGTCTCTTCCAACTCTTTGATTCTATGATTCTATGATCTAAAGCCCTTCCACACAGCTGAATAAAATCCCGCAATATCTGTTTTGAAGTGGGATATATGACAGCGTGGACTGAGATATCCCGGTTCAAAGCAGATATTGTGGGATTTCCTGCCTTGAATTCTGGGTTATATGGCTGTGTGGAAGGGCCTGGATTCTCTATGAGACTCATACCTGTTATACTTTAATGATTATATTTATTGTTTACTGCGCAATTAAGGCCAAGGCATTTCAGGCAAATCTCAGGCCCCAAATACCTCTGAGCTATACTCGTTTATAGGTTTTTCAACAATATAATGCACATTTATTTATTTATTTATTTACAACATTTGTATACCGCTTTTCTCACCCCGAAGGGGACTCAAAGCGGTTTCCACATAGGTAATGGCAAAATTACCATTATACAATTACAGTTAGACATAAATCAAATTAAAACACATCCATAAACAGTAAAACAATCTCATCTGTCGAATCGCCGTTCCAGTCATTGTCTTTCCGAAATGCTGCATAGATTTGTTTCTACTGCCCGAAGGCCTGGTCCCAAAACCATGTTTTTAATGTTTTCCTAAAAGCCAGGAGGGATGGAGCGGATCTTACCTCATTTGGGAGAGTGTTCCATAGGTGGGGGGCCACAGCCGAGAAGGCCCTGTCTCTCGTCCCCGCCAGGCGCATTTGCGCTGTTGACGGGAGCGAGAGCCGGGCCTCCCTGGATGATCCTAGATTATGAGGTGGGACATAGGGGTAGATGCGTTTGGACAAGTAAGCTGGGCCAGAACTGTATAGAGCTTTATAGGTCAAAACCAGCACTTTGAATTGGGCTCGGAGATGGACCGGCAGCCAGTGGAGCTGGCATAACAAGGGGGTGGTATGCTCCCTGTATGCCGCCCCAGTTAGTAATCTGGCTGCTGCCCATTGGACTAGCTGAAGTTTCCGAACAGTCTTCAAAGGCAGCCCCACGTAGAGCACGTTGCAGTAATCTATTCGGGATGTAACCAGAGCGTGGACCACCGTGGCCAGATCAGACTTCCAAGGGACGGGCACAGCTGGTGCACAAGTTTGTTCTGCAATGGCTAGAAATACATATGCTTCATTGAAAGATACAGATCAATTATACAAAAGATACCTTCTCCATTTACCCTTCTTTCTCCAGTTTATTAACTCTACTTAATCTTTACCTGAAGGCTAATTGGCCCCAAGATCTCTGAGTTCCTTCAGATTTTAGACAAAAAAGTATATTACCCTATTTTTAAAATTCTAAGATGTACTTCCCTCATGTAAACATCTCTGAATATGGGGTATATCATTCCACTTCATCACATTTACTAAATTCCAGTGAGTGCTACACATAAAATCCAAAAAACCACTCTCCTTATCACATTAGGTTGGGTTCAAGTGTAGGATAGAGCATTCTTTGTGTATTTTTAAGTGTGGGCGTCAGCATTCCTTTCAAACCTTTCAAAAGCTGGTAGTGAAGTGGTTTTTGTTTTTTTAAATGATCCAGATGTTTGACTATTTCTGTAATGTGATGGCATTTGTTGCTCCGAGGTTTAAAATGAAACAGTTCCCCAATTTGTGGGAGGTGAAATTGTGGGAGAAGCCAAAAGTACCCTTGTTCGGGAAAGCATTACCTTTTGCTCAGCGAGTTTTTACTTTGCCAGAACAATTTCTTTCTTTTTTTTAAATAGCCTTTCTAAGTCCTTTTCTGCCCATCCTTTCCTTTCCTTTCCTTTCCTTTCCTTTCCTTTCCTTTCCTTTCCTTTCCTTTCCTTTCCTTTCCTTTCCTTTCCTTTCCTTTCCTTTCCTTTCCTTTCCTTTCCTTTCCTTTCCTTTCCTTCAATGTTATGTCTGTCCCTTGTGTTGCATGGGAAAGCCAGGAGAGAAGGATGATGATGATGATGATGATGGTGATGATGATGGTGGTGGTGGTGGTGCCATATCTTCATGCTGAGCAACCCTGGGAGCCGGTTTTCCAAGGTCGAGACCATTCTCTTGGTGCGTTTACAGTATGGAATGAATGCCCTTGCATCCTGCTTTAAATGCCATATCTCAATGAGATGGTCTTGGGAATTGCAGTTTCCAAAGGTCCATTAACCTTCTCTGGGTACATGTAGACTGTGAAATGAATGCAGCTGGACCTTACTTTAAATGCCATAGCTCCATACTATACAGTCCTGGGAATTATAGTTTTCCAAGGTCCCCACCCTTCTCTGTGCAGCAGAAGAGAGAGGGAGAGACAAGAGAGTATCACTGCTTTCCCTCCCTCCCTGCTTCCTTGCTTCTGGAATTGAATTCATGTAACAGCTGACATGAGATCTCGTTTTAGTAGGGAAGCTGGGGTTTCAAATAGAGGAGGTTTGTTTTCAACAAAGAATGTAGAGGGAGGGATGGTGTGTGGGGCAAAATCTCTATAACATGAAGACAAATAAACTCAAAGAATGTGGAGTAATACAGAGTTGCATGGATACATTTAACAGTGTGATGATGGTAGGGAAATCATCCGTTTCATTGAAAAATGGAGCACTACTCAGCCAAATGTTTTCATCCGTATCATTGCAACAATGTGATGAAGTGGCTTGCATTGCAAGCTATATATATATATATATATATATATATATATATATATATGCCGTCCCCTGCCATGCGTTGCCGTGGCCCAGTCTGGTGATCTGGAAAATAAAGTAATGAGAAAGTGTTGGTTTCTAATACATGTATTTTCTTTATGCTTGTGGGTAAACAATATTTGATTATGTTTTCTTGCCCTGATGAAGGGAGTTGGACTGGATGGCCTTAAGAATCTTCTATTGGTCATAGGGGTTTTGTGTGGGAAGTTTGCCCCAATTCTGTCATTGCTGGGGTTCAGAATGCTCTTTGATTGTAGGTGAATTATAAATCCCAGTAACTACAACTCCCAAATGTCAAGGTCTATTTTCCCCAAACTCCATCTGTATTCATATTTGGGCATATGGAGTATTCGTGCCAAGTTTGGTCCAGATCCATCATTGTTTGAGTCCACAGTGCTCTCTGGATGTAGGTGTACTACAACTCCAAAACTGAAGGCCAATGGCCACCAAACCCTTCTAGTGTTTTCTGTTGGTCATGGGAGTCCTGTGCCATGTTTGGTTCAATTCCATCATTGGTGGAGTTCAGAATGCTCTTTGATTGTAGGTGAACTATAAATCCCAGCAACTGCAACTCCCAAATGACAAAAATCAATGTTTTTGAGTGAAGGACATACATTGGTTGTTAGGTGTCTTGTGTCCAAATTTGGTGTCAATTTGTCCAGTGGTTTTTGAGTAATGTTAATCCCACAAATGAACATTACTAGATAGATAGATAGATAGATAGATAGATAGATAGATAGATAGATAGATAGATGATAGATAGATAGTTTTGTGTGTGTGTTGGTTATACTGAAATTAGTGTGCGTATTGCAATTGATTGTGTCTAAGAATCGAAGAAATGTGGTATTTCTCCAGTTTATCATGAACATTTTAATTTCTTTGACTTTGTCCCAACACTTATATACAGTGGCTAAGTCTAAAGATTGCTTTTTGTAATTTTGGGGGGTACTACCGTACACCAGAGCAAGAACACCTCTGAACACCACACCAGCTTGGTAAAATCAGCAAGCAGTTTATTGAAGAATATAACTAGGCAAAGCAGTAAAATGAGCAAAAACAGTAAAGTTCCAAAACAAAGGCTAGTAAATGAGCTTTAAGGCAAAACAAAATTCCATAGGTTTAAAAATCCATGAAACAGGCACAAGAATCCATAAACAGGGCAGAATAAAAAATCCATTACACAAATCAGAAGCTTGGCAAAAACTTGATATATGAAACTAAGAACACTTGAAAGCAAGACCACAATGAAATTCCAACGTTGACCCAACTGAGGCAACTCTTTCTCATGAATCAATATAAGGGTTTTGCAGATCCCAAAACCAAAAAGAAAGCATTTATCTTGACCTTACCACCAGATAAAGGTTTTTTATCTCTCTTTTCCTGTAAACGAACTGATATTCTTTGTACCTGAGCACTCTTGCCTCTGTTTACAAAAGCCTTGCCTTCTATCTACACTCTCATTGATTCTCATTATCTTCTGCACCTGACATCTAAAAGATTCAAACTACAGGAAAGGAAATTCCACCTGAACATGAGGAAGAACTTCCTGATTGTGAGAGCTGTTCAGCAGTGGAACTCTCTGTCCCGGAATGTGGTGGAGGCTCCTTCTTTGGAGGCTTTTAAGCAGAGGCTAGATGGCCATCTGTCCGGGGGTGCTTTGAATGTGGTTTTCTTGCTTCTTGGCAGAGGGTTGGACTGCATAGCCCACGAGGTCTCTTCCAACTCTAGGATTCTATGTTTCTAAATGTGCTGAAGGTTATTTCTCCGCAATGAATAACTCACATGGGTCATATTGGCTTCATTGATTTCCCCCTGGATAAATAGAAGTTTGCATCATACCAATTTGGATTCATATCATAACAAATGTCATTCTGTAATGCAAAAATGAATAGAATCATAGAGCTGGAGCGGACCACCAAGGCTATATGAGCACACATACAATTTGCTTTCCCAACCTTGCTTAGAAACAATTTTTCTGCATTGGAAAAACTATCCAAGTATATTTTTCACAGCAAATGTTGTCTATATCAAGGCTTCTTAAATGTTTTCTACTTGTGGCTCAAGATTGGGAAAGACGTACGGCAGGGTTGTATACTCTCACCCATCCTATTCAACTTGCATGTAGAACACATCATGCGAGGATGTGCGGGGCTTGATGAATGCAAGGCTGGGGTGAAAATTGCTGGAAGAAACATTAACAACCTTAGATATGCAGATGACACCAATTTGATGGCTGAAAGTGAGGAGGAGCTGAGGAGCCTTCGAACCAAGGGGAAAGAAGAAAGTGCAAAAGCTGGGTTGCAATTCTTGATGGTAACAAGACTGATTGATAACTGGCAAATAGAGGGAGAAAACATGGAGGCAGTGACAGACTTTGTATTTCTACGTGCAAATATGACTGCAGACGCAGACTGCAGACAGGAAATCAGGAGATGTTTCCTTCTTGGGAGGAGAGCAATGACCAATCTTGATAAGATAGTGAAGAGTAGAGACATCACACTGGCAACGAAAATCCACATAGTCAAAGCAATGGTATTCCCCATAGTAACCTACGGATGTGAGAGCTGGACCATAAGGAAGGCTGACGAAGGAAGAGAGATGCTTTTGAACTGTGGTGTTGGAGGAAAGATCTGAGAGTGCCTTGGAACACAAGAAGATTCAATTAGTCCATACTACAGGAAATAAAGCCCGACTGCTTTATTGGAGGGAAGGATATTAGAGATGAAGTACTTTGGCCACATTAGGAGAAGACAGGAAAGCTTGGAGAAGACAGTTATGCTGGGGGAAATAGAAGGAAAAAGGAAGAGGGGCCGACCAAGGGCAAGATGGATGGATGGATTGTATCCTTGAAGTGACTGGATTGACTCTGAAGGAGCTGGGGATAGCTACGGCTGACAGGGAGTTCTGGTGTGGGCTGGTCCATGTGGAACTCTCTGCCCCGGAGTGTGGTGGAGGCTCCTTCTTTGGAAGCTTTTAAACAGTAGCGGGATGGCCATCTGTCAGGGGTGATTTGAATGCAATATTCCTGCTTCTTGGCAGTAGGTTGGACTGGGTGGCCCATGAGGTCTCTTCCAACTCTTTGATCTATGATTCTATGTGGTCACAAAGAGTCGGAAGTGACTAAATGAATAAACAACAACAAACTTGGGGCCCCTTTTTGCTGAGGACTTATTAATATGATCCTGGGTATACAAAGTAGGCAAAATTAGCATTTGCAAAGCTTGCTTTAAAAAAGCAGGCGGATTTTCCTTTTGTATGAAAAGCCATGTTACTAACAGATTCAGTAGGTGACAAAGTACACATTTTTGTAACACCCACATACAGATATAGGACACCAAATGGGGTTGCAACCCACAGCTGAAGAAGCTGTTAGAGGCCATTTCTCCCTTCTAGAGCAGTGGTTCTCAACCTGGGGTCCCCAGATGTTTTTTGCCTTCAACTCCCAGAAATCCTAACAGCTGGTAAACTGGCTGGTTTCTGGGAGTTGTAGGCCAAAACACTTGGGGACCCACAGGTTGAGAACCACTGGCTTAGACAGTGACGCTGTTTTCGATCTCTGGAGGGTAGAGATACTTGTAGCCAAAAGGGACCGGTCCCCCCATCTTGGCCACGGACTTGTTCCTCTCCTCGATTTCCTTGGAAATCTTCTTCAGTTCCTCTTGGAAGGCAGCAATGAGTCTTCTGGGTGACTCTTCTGTGAAATGCTCCTCCGGATAATTGCCCAGGGGGACCTGGCATAGAAAAGAATAGTAAATAGGGGAAGAGAAGTAGAAAAACACGTTGGAGAAATGCAGACAAGCTATAACCCCACAGACCTTGAAAAGCAACATTACAAAAAGGAATTTCAGTTATTTTCTCATAGTTGCTGGGGTTGGAGACACTACAGAAGGAATAAAATGGCAAATATGTTGCCTTCTTAATGATATATAGCTTTAACAATCTATCAGAAAACTGTTGTTAGTGGCAGATCTAGGGTTTGCCCCCGCCTCCAACATATCTCTAGGGATACATCTCCACTGTAGCTTGACACCACTTGAACCACCTTGGCTCAATGCTATGCAATCCCGTAAGCTGCAATTTTACAAAAGGTTTTTTTGTTGTATTGTCGAAGGCTTTCATGGCCGGAATCACTGGGTTGTTGTAGGTTTTTCCGGGTTATATGGCCATGTTCTAGAGGCATTTTCTCCTGACGTTTCACCTGCATCTATGGCAAACATCCTCAGAGGTAGTGAGGTCTGTTGGAAGTAGGAAAATGGGTTTATATATCTGTGGAATGACCAGGGTGGGACAAAGGACTCTTGTCTGCTGGAGCTAGGTGTGAATGTTTCAACTGACCACCTAAATTAGCATTTGATTAACATGGCAGTGCCTGGGGAATTCTTTTGTTCATAGGTGATTAATGTGCCTGATTGTTTACTCTCTGTTGTTTTGCTGTTGTAATTTTAGTTTTTTAATACTGGTAGCCAGAATTTTGATGATTTTTGTTCATTTTCATGGTTTCCTCCTTTCTGTTAATATTTCCACCGTGTCAGACTACACAGAGAAGCCATTGAAATCCACAAGCATGTGGACAATTTCAACAGAAAGGAGGAAACCATGAAAATGAACAAAATCTGGCCTTGATTAACATTTGATGGCCTTCCAGGCACTGCCAGGCTATCAAATGCTAAGGTGGTCAGTTGAAACATTCACACCTAGCTCCAGCAGACAAGAGTCCTTTGCCCCACCCTAGTCATTCCACAGATATATAAACCCTTTTTCCTAGTTCCAACAGACCTCACTACCTCTGAGGTAGTGCATTCTGAACTCCACCAGCTATGGAATTGAACCAAACCTGGCACACAGAACTCCCATGACCAATAGAAAATACTGGAAGGGTTTGGTGAGCATTGACCTTGAGTTTGGAGTTGTAGTTCACCTACATCTAGAGAGCGCTGTGGACTCAAACAATGATGGATCTGGACCAAACGTGGCACAAATACTCAATATGCCCATGAACACTGGTGGAGTTTGGAGAAAATAGACCTTGCCATTTGGGAGTTGTAGTTGTTGGGATTTATAGTTCACCCACAATGAAATAGCATTCTGAACCCCACCAATGATAGAATTGGACCAAACTTTCCACACAGAACCCCCATGGCCAACAGAAAATACTATGTTTTCTGATGGTCTTTGGCGACCCCTCTGACACCCCCTCGCGACCCCCACAGGGGTCCCGACCCCCAGGTTGAGAACTGTCCTAGATGGATCTCTCTCTCATACACACAAACACACACACACACTAACACACACACACTAACACACTGCACAATGCACACTCTCTAATAGTCAGGACCGTCCCAGGTTCAGAGATTTCAGGACCAAGAGCAGTGACTTGGGATGACCCATGTGAAGTCATAGAAAGGCAGCCTTACTGAGGTGGAGTTACAAAGTGCAGCCCTATGGCAGACTCCAAGCATGTTGTATCCAGCATCACAGAACCACAAGGTTGAAAGAAACCCCAAGGGTCATCCAGTCCAATGCCAGACAGGAAGACACAAACAAAGTCCTCCTGACTGATGGCCATCCAGCCTCTGCCCAAAAACCTCAGGAGATGGAGAACAGCCTCCAGAGAAAGAAAAGATGGCATGAAAGTTACATGACCATGTAGAAAAAAACTGAATAACTTTTTAATATTTATTTTTTATAGAACCATGGAATTTGAAAAGACCCCAAGGGCCATTCAATCCAACCTCTTAAAAACCTTCAGAGAAGGTGTTCTGTCACGCGCTGGGCCTGTAAAGAATTGCCTTTAAAATAGGATGTGCAACTTGAGCCCAGCGGGAAGCCAGGGGCCCCTGAAGAGAAGCTCTCAGGGATTTTCCACCACAAATGGTCTTTAAATGGCTTGTGAAGTATAACAAAGTCCTTTATTAATGAACAATCAAACAGAAACTTTTCTTGTCTTCAGTAAAGATAAACAAATGCTTCCAGGCTTTTATGCAACTGGTGGCTTCCTAATCTTGTCCACGAAGGACAGACAATTATCTTCAGTAACTGTTTCTTTACTTTAAAGAAAATCCCTTTTTAACTTCTCCCAGGCTGACTGTAATCTAAGCCTTACTGATGTGGGCTCCGCTACCCGGTCGAACTGCGTCTCGAGCACCGAGTGGACCTACCAGTAAGGCCAGTAGATTCTCCAGCTGGAGTTCTTTGGTCTTCCAAACTGTTTATCCCTCCGAAATTCCTCAAAGCTTTAGGGCTGTTTCCCTGGAAATCTTTGGAGATCTTTGGATGCTCTTAAGACTGTTCTCCCCCGGAAAGTCTTAAGGGTTGAAGCTTTTGTACAGGAGAAGCTTGTGCACGTCCTCTACATTAGCTTTCCTTACTGAGACTAACTAAAAATGGCTCCCCTCCCTTCCAAATTGCCCTGAGCAAGGGGCGGAACCAAAACTTAACGATGATGGACTGGTGACTTGCCCTATGACTGCAACCAAAGGAAACCACCTTTCTGCAGAGTCCCTGAAACCTTGGACTGCAAGCAAACATTTAATACAAAGCAAATAAAGTTGGAGCTCCTGGTACAGCTGTATCAGCACAGAAGGAGACCCCACCCCACTCCAAGGCAGCCTATTACACTGTCAACGAGCTCTCTAACCATCAGGAAGTTCTTCTTAAGGGTTAGGTAGAATCTCTTTCCCTGCCATTTGAACCCATGTCCGCATTATTCTTAAGGGTTGCTCTCTTTCCCTGCCATTTGAACCCATGTCCGCATTATGCCCTGGTCTCTGGAGCAGCAGAAAACAAGCTTGCCTTGTTCTCAATATGACATCCTTTCACATAAACATGACTTTCATGTCCCTCTTGCCTTTCTCTTCTTCAAGCTAAACATCCCCAGCCCCCAAAGCACTTCCTCAGAGGCTTGGTTTCCAAACCTTGGATCATTTTGGTCGCCCTTCCCTGGACATGTTCTACATGTCCGGGGGGAGTGACTTTCATGCTTCTTAGGCCATGACACCACTCAAAGGGGCCTTGCACACTCTCTGGGCACTCACCACGTCTCCCGATGGGTTGCTGATGGTCCAAAGCACGCTTTGCCCTTTGCACGTGGTACTGATGTCCGGGATGGTGTCTTTGTAGTCCTCCAGGTTCGCCGTGCCCTTAGTGGTCGGAGGGGGCCTCCTCATCGTAAAAGGGAGGTTGGGCATCCAGAAGCCAAACTCAAACTATCCAAAATCCAAATATTGAGAATGTGACATGTAGTTAAAGGTTGATGTGTACAAGATAGTAATAGTAGTAATAATAATAATAATAATAATAATAATAATAATAATAATGATAATAATAATAATGATAATAATTGTGCTGTCACACGCTGGGCCTATAGCAATTGGCTTTTGAACAGGACGTGCTCTTTGTGCCCAGCGGGAAGCCAGGGTGCCTCAGCTGAGAGGCCCTAAGGATTTTCCTATACAGAGTCTTTAGAAGCTTGAAAGGTTTAACAAAGTCCTTTATTATTGCTTAGGTCTTCAACAAAACAATCAAATACTTCTCAGATCTTCAACAGGTCAAACAAATACTTCAAGGCTTTGAATCAACTGGTGGCTTTCTTAATCTCGTCCACAAGGGACAGGCAACTGCCTTCGTGAACTGTTTCTTTTCTTTAAGAGGAAAACCTTTTTTAACCCCTCCTTGGGCAATCTGCTTTCTAAACTTTGCTGGTGTGGGCTCTACTCCCGGCTCCAAACTGCTTCTTGGTTCCCGAGTAGACCTACTAGTCAAGGCTTTGTAGATTCTCCAGCTGGAGTCCTTTGGAACTGTTTCCCCCTGGAATTTCTTAAGAAACAAAGCTTCTCTACAGGTGGAGCTGATTCACTTCCTGTAGCTAAGCTTTCAACTGTAAGACTGAACCAAAATGGCTCCCTTTCCCTCCTGAATCCTGGGGAAAGGGGCGGAACTAAAAAGACCCAACAATGATAGACAGGTGGCTAGCCCCATGTCTGCAAACCAAGGGAAGCCACCTTATTGTAAAATGCATGGAACATTGGAATACATGCAAACACTCAAGGAAAGAAAAGGAAATTGGAGCTCCTGGTACAGACAATACACATACATAGCAACCATTCAGTACTGTTTGGACAGACAGGTCAGAGACAGAGAAAAAAGAGGTATGTTGTTTTGACATTCAGCTTTTTGCCGCCTTGGAGGTTGTGCTCACATTCACCTACAGGGGGTGCTGTTGCTCCATCCCCTATGACAAAGAGCCCATCAGGACTTCCTCCTTTCTTTTGATTGCCAAACATTTTCTGATCTTTTTTTTATGGTGTCGTAAAATAACTCCCCCACTTTTTAGCGGTACCTGATTTCTCTACTTACAGCTCTAAGCCATTTTCGGACTGATTAGGTAAACAATGAGCTGGGCTGACAGCCGGGTGCTTACGCCAATCCGGGGCTTTGGACTGGCAACCTTTTGGTTGGTAGATCTTATAGCTGCTGGTGATTTATCAGCTATGCTAAAGCCCGGCCCTTTAGCACAGCTGGTAAAGAGACTTCTCGGTGTCCACCCCAAGGAACTAGGGAGTTGTGAACAACATCCTTTCCTTGTGGGCCTTCTCCCAGCGGGTGAAAATTTTCAAAGGGTGCATTTACAATGTAGAATTAATTCAGTTTGACATCACTTTTACTGCCATGGCTCAATGCTATGGAAGCATGGGAGTTGTAGTTTTACAAAGTCTGTCACCATATTTGCTTATTTATTTTGTATCAAAAGCATTGCATAAATTAGTATAAAACTTATAAAAATAGGAGCACAAGCGGCTAAATATCTTTTGACCAAAAATGAGCAACTGTGACCACATTGTCTATAACCTCCAACAATTATTCCTCTGTATATAAGGCAGGACATTGCAGACAAGCATGCAGATGCAGAGTTGTCTGTTCTGCTCCACAGTCGTACAAGGTGGAGGATTCTTCTAGGTAGTGCCATTTAGTCAGGTTGTCTTTTGATCTGCCCACTCCACTTCTGTGTCTGTTCAGGGACTTCCAAGTTGCCCATTCTTGGTTTGCTTCTGGAGGAAGACCCTCGTGTGTGTGTGTGTGTGTGTGTGTGTGTGTGGAGGGGGGCATCCAATTGGGATTTCCTGGTGTAGCTGTCCAGAGGGATATTCTTGCTGTTGCTGGGGAACATTAAGAGGAGTCATGGTTCTCATGAAGCTTTTCCTTGATTTGAGTCTACTGGGAGGAGGCTGACAGCCATGCAGTGAGTGGCTTTCACAGTGTTCAACCTTATTTCTCTCGCAGTTAACAGCAACTTCCCATCACATAATACCAGCTAGCTTGTAGGGTCTATCAACAGGTGTAGGTTTAAGACATCCTGTGATTATTCTGCATGTTTCATTCAATGCTATAAAACCCCCAGTAGCGCAGTGGGTTAAACCCCTGTGCCGGCAGGACTGAAGACTGACAGGTCGCAGGTTCGAATCCGGGGAGAGGCGGATGAGCTCCCTCTATCAGCTCCAGCTCCTCATGTGGGGACATGAGAGAAGCCTCCCACAAGGATGATAAAAACATCAAAATCATCCAGGCGTCCCCTGGGCAACATCCTTGCAGATGGCCAATTCTCTCACACCAGAAACAACTTGCAGTTTCTCAAGTCACTCCTGACACAACAATAATAATAATAATAATAATAATAATAATAATAATAATAATAATTCAATGCTATGTTCACCTGCTTACATACTCACAGGCATATTCAGCAGTTGAGTAAGACAACACCAGGACTGATGTTCTTATTAATTTTGGGTCTGCACCCCATGTGCTGTCAGTAAGCTTCTGCAAGATGTCATTGCGTGCAGCTACTTTGTGCTTGGTGTTCGTGCAGTGTTTACTATATGTTAGTGTTTGATCTAAGGTGACACCAAGATATTTAGGATGGAAACAGTGTCTGAGCTCTTGGCCTTCCCAGGTAACTTTCAATTGGCTTCACAGTTATGAAGGTGGAAACTTCAGACTTGTGCCTTGTCAGGGTTAAGCTTCAGGTGCTTATCTTTGGAGTAGCTCAAGGGATCTTTCAAGGCATTGGATTTTGACTGTTTCAAAGTCTTTTGCTTGTATTGTTGGGGACTGAAGGCTATGGAATCCTGTAGTTTCGCAAGGCCAATAACCTTTCTCTGCCATGGATTGCTGGTACTTCAGTAAACTACAACTCCAATGACTCTGTACCATGTGGTGTCAAGCTGCATTCATTCTACAGTGTAGATGCAGCCTTATTTGGATATCCTTTTAGGTCAAGGGTGGTTTTCAGAAAAATGGCAGTATCCCCTTGGTAGTCTAGCTCAAATTATTTGGGGCTAGGGTAGGATGCCATGGTGTTTAAAAACTCTTTAAAATCTAATACAGCTTTAGCATGTGATGTTTAGTAAGGGGACTTTAGGACAAGCTCATCTTTCCTCCTACCTGCCCAGTATTAACAGCTGAATGCTGACACGAACAGATAAAAATCACAGCAGTCATGAACTTTTTCAGCTCCTTCACAGAAGAGAACGAGGAAGAGAGGCCTGAAGAAGGAAGCAAAGGTACACATTCACAATAGAAATCAAACAATAGGACCTATATTAAAAAAAATCACAAGATGATGGACAAATAAAAATTTAATGTTTGCTTGTTTGTGGGATTAACATAACTCAAAAACTACTAGACAAATTGACACCAAATTTGGACACAATACACCTATAAGGCTAACAAGTGACCATCTATATAAATAAAAATGCAATGTTCGTTTGTGGGATCAACATAACTCCAAAACCATTGGATACATTGAAACCAAATTTGGACACAATACACCTAAACAATCCAACGAGTGTCCATCACCCCTAAACACACACACACACACACAAAACCCCAGCGGAACAGACCTGAAACCCCCCAAAAATACACAATATATACATATACACATACAATCATATACTTATACCTTGGACTAATTTGTTCCTGCTTATCTTCTTACCTAATTGGATCTATCTGTTCCCTTAAAATGTTTTTCTACTTTGCTGCTTTTACTTATCTTCAATAAAAAAAGGATTGTTTTCCTACTCAACGTGTGGTGTTTTAAAATCAGAGGGTTATTCCTCTTCTGGAGTGCAACAGTTGTTGTTTATTCGTTCAGTCACTTCCAACTCTTTGTGACCTCATGGACCAGTCTACGCCAGAGCTCCTTGTTGGCCATGGCCAACCCCAGGTCCTTCAGAGTCAAGCCAGTATGGATTATATTGCCCATGGAACACCTCCTGGAACTGGAACAAACTAGTTCTGTCTCTAGATGGGTTGGACTACATTGCCCATGGGACACACCCTGCTGGTGGAATAATATAGATAGCTGGCTCTGGTCTCTAGATGGGTTAGATTACAATGCCCATGGGACACACCTTGGTGGTGGATCAATGTAGATAGTTGGCTCTGGTCTCTCGGTGGGTTAGACTACAATGCCCATGGGACACACCTTGGTGGTGGATCAATGTAGATGGCTGGTTCTGGTCTCTAGATGGGTTGGACTACAAGGCCCATGGGTCACTTTAAGGATGCCTTCCATCCATCTTGCCTTTGGTCAGCCCCTCTTCCTTTTTCCTTCCATTTTCCCCAGCTTTCCTGTCTCATGATGTGGCCAAAGTACTTCAACTTTGTCTCTCATACCCTTCCCTCCAATGAGCAGTTGGGCTTTATTTCCTGAAGTATGGACTGGTTGGATCTTCTCGCGGTCTAAGACACTCTCAGAACTTTCCTCCAACACCACAGTTCAAAATCATCTATCTTCCTTCGCTCAGCCTTCCCTATGGTCCAGCTATCACATCCTTAGGTGACTATGGGGAATACCATGGCTTTAACTATGCGGATCTTCATTGCCAGTGTGATGTCTCTACTCTTCACTATTTTATTGAGATTGATCATTGCTCTCCTCCCAAGAAGTAAGCGTCTCCTGATTTCCTGGCTCCAGTCTGTGTCTGCAGTGTTCTTTGTACCTAGAAATACAAAGTCTGTCACTGCCTCCGTGTTTTCTCCCTCTATTTCCCAGTTGTCAATCATTCTTGTTGCCATAATCTTGGTTTTTTATGTTTAACTGCAACCCAGTATCTGTTTATATATTGGAATCCACTCTGAGTCCCTTCAGGGAGAAGGGTCAAATATAAATAAAGTGATACACACACACACACAGAGCCGAATGCAGGTGCCATGTTCTGCTCACTGCTATACCTGGAAGTTGCCAACCAGATAAAGAGAGGCAGCCTTACCAGAAGACTCTTGTGCCAGAAAGCCTTTCTCAAAGACCTCCGCCATCCACTTCTGCAGCTCACAATCTTCCTGCACAGAGCGATCGGTTGGATAATACAAGTCGATGATGCCAGAGACAAAGCTAAGAAAGAAGAGCCAAAGAAGAGGGTAGTCACAATCGAGGCCAGCATCAGCCCTTCTCTCACTTCTCCAAAATTCCATGAAATTGCATTTGGAGCACACTTTGAAATTAGGAAACAATATCTACTCTCCTGGGGCCAGCAGGTGGATCAGAACCAGAGCTGGAGAAAATGTCTTATTTTGGACCTCAACTCCCAGAATCCTTGAGGCAGTGTGGCTAAAGCAAAATAACTTACCCTGCAATCCCTGGATGTAACAGTGGATAGTTTGGGGAAGTTGCTTTTTTAAATTACAAGTCCAAATATTCCATAGCTAGCACACTCTAAGGTCAAGCAAACTGTCCTTCGATCCCTGGGACAATACGTGATTCAAAACCAGGAGGGCAGCTAAAATGATCAGGGGTCTGGAGAACAAGCCCTATGAGGAGCGGCTTAAAGAGCTGTGCATGTTTAGCCTGAAGAAGAGAAGGCTGAGAGAAGATATGATAGCCATTAGGGCTGGGCAACCACGGAAAAATTTGTTTCTAAACTCGATTCGTTTTTAGGGGGTTTTTGCGTTTCGATTTTTAAAAGAATTCTGAAAATTTTCTTTAAAAAAGTTCAAAATTTACGAAATTTCGGAAATTACGAAACAATTACGAAACAATTACGAATCGATTCATTAATGGCGGACGCGACCGCGCAATACGCTAAAAAAACCTCCAAATGGGACAGGGGGAACTTCTGAAGCTTCCCTCTCCCTCTGTTGTTGACTGTTGGTGTGATAATTATTTTTTTCACTGATTAAACAAACAACAACTATAAAACTTGCACCAGACATGCGGAAATAATAACGAAATCGAAACAATTTCGAAACAATTACGAAACAATTACGAAACAATTACGAAATAAATTTTTAAAATTCGTTTCGATTTTTAGTTGCTCCTGAATGGTTCAATATCGCTTTGTTATAAAAAAACGAATTAATAACGAAGTACGAAATTAACAAACGAAACCGCCCAGCCCTAATAGCCATGTATAAGTATGTGAGAGGAAGTCACAGGGAGAAGGGAGCAAGCTTGTTTTCTGCTGCCTTGAAGACTAGGACACGGAACAATGGCTTCAAACTACGAGAAAGAAGATTCCACCTGAACATTAGGAAGAACTTTGAATGCAATATTCCTGCTTCTTGGCAGAATGGGGTTGGACTGGATGGCTCACGAGGTCTCTTCCAACTCTATGATTCTATGATTCATTGCCTGGAAAAGTTCCTTTTTAGGGCACAATTTCCCCCTGTCAACATGTCCAAGACCTAAGGTACACAGTGTGTAGCTGTTTATGAGATGCTCTGAGTAGTAGTTGAATATTAAGGAACTTTCTCAAGCACTGTGAGATTTTACAGCCGCCCGACTTGTGGTCATCAATAAGATGACCACAAGTCACTCCATGACCCATCAAGTCCAACACAAATGGATACAAATAGATAAATAATATAATAGTAGCCACCAACTTACCGCTCCACAGCTTCCCAGAGCTTCATGCCATCCTCTTTGTAATAGAAATGGGGCAATGAGGACACCCCACGAGCTTCCAGGTCTTCCGGAAGGCAGAGCGAAGAGAAGGTCAAAGCTTTGGTTCCTCTTCTCAACAGTTCCACCAAGCCTTCATAACCAATACCAATGTACTACAATGGGAAGGAGATGGGAAAATCAGGGATGCAAACAACATTATACTTTTTTTCCCTTTCAGATGAAGTATTTGCTACTCTTTCACTACTGGCTTGCAAAATGTCCTTGATATTTATATTAATATGAACTCCCCTCCCCCCCCAGCTGCACTACCAAATGGCAACTTCTTGAAGGTCTCAGTCCTCAGAATCAAACAGATGGACTTGACCATCTCTATCTTCTCTTGGAATGGTGTATTTCAGGGAAACAGAACTGTTTGTCTTTCACCAAACTACAAAGGGCAGATAGGGTTTGATACCATAGACCAGAGTATCCTTCTGGGTTGATTCATAAGGATGGGTCTTGGAGGTACTGTTTTGCAGTGGCTCCTGTCCTTCCTGGAGGATCATACCCAGAAGATGTTGTTGGGGGACTCCTGTTTGGCCCCACAGCCATTGTCCTGTGGTGTCCAACAGGGTTCAATATTGTCCCCGTGTTGTTTAAGATCTACATGAAGCCGTTGGGTGAGATCATCTGGAGTTTTGGCGTTTGAAGCCATCTGTATGTAGATGACGTCAGACTCTACTACTCCTTTTCACCAGATGCTTAGAAGGTCGTGAACTGGTGACGGTCTGGATGAGGTGGAGCAAATTGAAGTTGAATCCAGTCAAAACAGTGGTCCTCCTGATCAGCCACAAGGCCGACCAGAGTATAGGGTTCCAGCCTCTGCTGGACAGGGCTACCCTCCCCCTGAAGACATAGATTGGCAGCTTGGGAGTCCTCCTGGACTCATTGCTGAGCCTGGAATCTCAAGTTGCGGCAGTGGCTTGGAGGGCTTTTGTACAATTAAAACTTGTGCGCCAGTTGTGCCCATACCTTGGAATGTCAGACTTGGCCATAGTGGTCCATGCTCTCGTTACATCTAGGATAGACTACTGCAATGCACTCTACATGGGGCTGCCTTTGAAAACTGTTTGAAAGCTTCAAATAATCCAACGAGAGGCAGCCAGGTTAACAACTGGGATAGCATACAAGAAGCACACAACTCCTATGTTGCGTCAGCTCCACTAGTTGCCAGTTCGCTCCCGAGCACAATTCAAAGTGCCGGCTTTGGCTTATAAAGTCCTATACATCCCCGGCCCAATTTCCTTGTCCGAACGCATCTCCCTCTATGAACCACTGCGGAGATTAAGATCTTCCGGGGAGGCCCTGCTCTCGGTCCTGCCATTGCCCCTTAGATATGCCCCTGGTGAGACTAGATCAACCCCCTCCCTCCTGTTCATCAGAAAGATGGTAAAAACTTGTCTGTGGGACCAAGGCTTTGGGACAGTGCAATAAAGCAGCAATAGGAGCCATGAACTAAACAGGTTCCTGGACCACCTTAACAACATCCACCCAAACATCCAATTCACCATGGAAAAAGAAAATGAAGGAAAACAGCCATTTCTAGATATCCCAGTCATTCGCAAACAGATCACCAATTAGGTCACACCATTTATAAAAAAATCTATACACACAGATAGATACCTACATAAAAACTCCAAGTAAAAAAAGAAGCATCATTAAAGCCCTGGCAGACTGTGCAAAAAGAATCTGCAAAGCCCACCTCCTCCAAGATGAACTGAACCACCTTAACTGGGCTCTCCAGGCCAATGGAGACTCCACCTCAGACATCAGAAGAGCTGCAAGACCAAGAACAAGCCACGAGAGTCAAGATGAAGATCAACCCAGAGGAAAAGTGTTCCTGCCAGACATCAAGGGAACCACTGACCACATAGGGAAGCTGATGAGAAAATACAACCTACAAGCTATCTGCAGACCCACCAAGAAATTCCAACAAATGCTACGTTCAGCGAAGGACAAGAGGGATCCTCTCACCTCTGCAGGAGTCTACTGTATACCATGCAGCTGTGGACAAGTCTACATAGCGACCACCAAACGCAGCAGCATTGCCCAGACACGAATCAAGGAACATGAAAGGCACTCTAGACTACTTCAACCAGAGAAGTCAGCCATAGCAGAGCACCTGATGAACCAACCTGGACACAGAATATTATTTGAGAACACAGAAATGCTGGACCACTCTCACAACCACCATGTCAGACTACACAGAGAAGCCACTGAAATCCACAAGCATGTGGACAATTTCAACAGAAAGGAGGAAAATCTGACTACCAGTATTTAAAAAACTCTAAAATTATAACAGTAAATAAAGAACAACATTCAAAAACAGACAAGAAATAATCAGGGACAGCTAATCACTTCTAAACAAAGGATTCCCCCAGGCACTAACAAGCTACACCTAAAAACTGTCAGGCCATCAAATGCTAATCAAGGTGGCCAATTGAAACATTCACACCAAACTTCAACAGGCAAGAGTTTTTTCTCCCACCCTGGACATCATTCCACAGATATATAAACACAATTTTCCTAGTTTCCAACAGACCTCGCAACCTCTGAGGATGCCTGTCATAGATGCAGGTGACATGACAGGAGAGAATGTTTCTAGGGTATGGCCGTATAGTCCGGAAAAAAACTACAAAAACCCAACAATAGGAAACTGCTTTGTAAAAATTGAAGTAAAGTGGAGATAATTGATTTTAGTATTTATGTATATTGAATGATGCCATATATATGTTGTGCTCTGCCCTGAGTCCCCTTTGGGGTGAGAAAGGTGGAATATAAACATTTAAAATAAATAAATAGATAAATAAATAAATAGGGTTTGTATTTGTCAAAGAGTTAGATTTAGCAGAGACAGGATTTGGATGTGACAGAGACAAGGTTCGATTTGACAGTGATAATGTCGAATTTGACATGGGAGGCAGGGTGGGGCAGGTACTAGCATTTGGAAATGTGGATGGACCCAAATGGAGGTGAAAATCCATTTACCTCATCTAAGATCCCTCCTTTTGAAATGAGATTATCCCGGGCCACAACATTAATGTGAAAGGTGTAGCGCATATGAGGAATCAGGAGCTGCGGAAACAAATGGTGAGAAATAAGCTGGCCTTTCAATCCCATGGTTCCATTTTCAATGCCAGACTTCAATCAAGTTAAGCCAAATTCTTCAGCCAGAAACTTATAGTGTAACTGAATGGATTAGAACAGATTAGAACAGTTTCTCAACCTTGTGGTCTGGACCCCTGGGGGGGACGTTGTGAGGGGGTTTCAGAGGGGTTGCCAATCACCATCAGAAAACATATATTTCTGATGGTCTTAGGAACCCCTTTGGCAGAGAAGGCTGAAGATCTCTCCGCCTGTCCTTCTCTTCCTTTTTGGAAACAGAGGGTGATTCCTCCTACCAAAAGCCCTCCTCTGCTTTCAGTCAAGGGCAGGGCTGTTTCTGAGACTCCAAGGAGGGAGGGGAGAGCAGGCATGCTTAGTCCATGACAGCGTGGTGCGCATATGCAGGCGAGGGAGAGCATGCGAGGCTGGAGGGAGGTTCACACTAGCGAGTCCCTTCAAGGCAGGGTGGTTCTGAGTATGAAGTTTGGCCCAATTCTATCATTGGAGGGGTTCAGAATTCTCTTTGATGGTAGGTGAACTATAATTCCCAGCAACTACAACTCCCAAATGTCAAGGTCTATTTTCGCCAAACTCCACCAGTGTTCACATTTGGGCATATTGAGTATGCGTGCCAAGCTTGGTCCACATCTATCATTGATTTGAGTCCACAGTGCTCTCTGGATGTAGGTGAACTACAACTCCAAGACTCAAGGTCAATGCCCTCCAAACCCTTGCAGTATTTTCTGTTGGTCATGGGAATTCTGTGTGCAAAGATTGGTTCAGTTCCATCCAGAGGCAGCCCTAGGTAATTTTCAATGGTAAGCAAACAGTATTTTGCCCCCGCCCCCCAACCAATCACTGATATATATTTTATGTTTGTCGTGGGAGTTCTGTGTGCCATATTTGGTTCAGTTCCATCATTGGTGGAGTTCAGAATGCTCTTTGATTGTAGGTGAACTATACATCCCAGTAACTACAACTCGCATATGTCAAGGTCTATTTTCCCCCAAGAATGCCCCTGGGCAAAATCAACTATACTGCAAATGCTTACTTTGCGTAATGGTTGAGCCGCCCCTGGTTCCATCGTTGGTGGAGTTCAGAATGCTCTTTGATTGTAGGTGAACTATACATCCCAGTAACTACAACTCCCAAATGACAAAATCAACCGCCTCCCCCAACCCCACCAATATTCCGCTTTGAGTCCCCCTAGGGGTGAGAAAGGCAGTATATAAATACTGTAAATAAATAATAATAAATGTTCAAGTTGGGACGTATGGTGTATTTGTGCCAAATTTGGTCCAGTGCATGAAAATACATCCTGCATACCAAATATTTTCATTACAATTCATAACACTAGCAAAATTACAGTTATGAAGTAGCAACAAAAACAGTTTTATGGTTGGGGGTCACCACAACATGAGGAACTGTACTAATTAATTTATAATATATTTATTTGCCATATTTATATACTGCCTTTCTCAACCCGAAGGCAATTCAGGGCGGTTTATAGTCGGCACAATTCGATATTAAGAGATCGTGGCATTAAGAAGGTTGAGAAACATCGGACTACAACCTTGAATTTTAATTTTTTTCCCCGACATGCTCAATTATGCACCTGGAGTAGCCAATTGCACCCCTACATGGTCATTAACAACCTCAGATATGCAGATGACACCACTCTGATGGCCGAAAGTGAGGAGGAGCTGAGGAGCCTTCTAATCAAGGTGAAAGAAGAAAGCGCAAAAGCTGGTTGCAGCTAAACGTCAAAAAAACCAAGATTATGGCAACAAGAATGATTGACAACTGGGAAATAGAGGGAGAAAATGTGGAGGCCGTGACAGACTTTGTATTTCTAGGTGCAAAGATGACTGCAGATGCAGACTGTGGCCAGGAAATCAGAAGGCGCTTCCTTGGGAGGAGAGCAATGTCCAGTCTCGATAAAATAGTAAAGAGTAGAGACATCAGACTGGCAACAAAGATCCATTGCCCAGTCAAAGCCATGGTATTCCCTGTAGTCACCTATGGATGTGAGAGCTGGACCTTAGGGAAGGCTGAGCGAAGGAAGATAGATGCTTTTGAACTGTGGTGTTGGAGGAAAGTTCTGAGAGTGCCTTGGACTGCGAGAAGATCCAACCAGTCCATCCTCCAGGAAATAAAGCCCAGCTGCTCATTGGAGGGAAGGATACTAGAGACAAAGTTGAAGTACTTTGGCCACATCATGAGGAGAGAGCAAAGCCTAGAGAAGGGAATGTGACCCTGCTGGTTCTCTTGGACATCTCAGCGGCTTTCGATACCATCGATCATGGTATCCTTCTGGGTCGACTCTCTGGGATGGGTCTCGGGGGCACGGTCTTGTCGTGGCTCCGGTCCTTCCTGGAGGGTCGAACCCAGATGGTGAAGCTGGGAGATGCCTGCTCGGATCCCTGGCCTTTGACCTGTGGGGTCCCGCAAGGCTCTATTCTATCTCCCATGCTTTTCAACATCTACATGAAACCGCTGGGAGAGGTCATCCGGAGTTTTGGAGTTGGGTGCCATCTCTATGCAGATGACACACAACTCTACTACTCTTTTCCACCCAATTCCAAGGAGGCCTCTCGGGTGCTAGACGAGTGCCTGGCCGCTGTGTCTATCTGGATGAGGACGAACAAGCTGAAGATCAATCCCGACAAGACAGAGGTCCTCCTGGTCGATCGTAAACCTGATCGGGGTATAGGGTGGCAACCTGTGTTGGACGGGGTTACACTCCCCCTGAAGCCACAGGTCCGCAGCTTTGGGAGTCCTCCTGGATTCATCGCTCACGCTTGAGGCTCAGGCGTCGGCAGTGTCCGGGAGGGCTTTTGCACAACTGAGACTTGTGCGCCAGCTGCGCCCGTACCTTGCGAAGGCTGATCTGGCCGGGTGGTCCATGCCTTAGTCACCTCTAGACTGGATTACTGCAATGCGCTCTACGTGGGGCTGCCCTTGAAAACGGCTCGGAAATTCCAATTGGTCCAACGGGCAGCGGCCAGGATGTTAACTGGTGCTCCTTACAGAGAGAGGTCAACCCTCCTGTTTAAGGAGCTGCACTGGCTGCCGTTTATTTTCCGAGCCCAATTTAAGGTGCAGGTGCTTACCTACAAAGCCCTGAACGGTTTGGGACCACCCTACCTGCGTGACCACATCGTTGTCTACGAACCCACACGCTCACTCCGGTCATCTGGAGAGGCCCTGCTCATGATCCCGCCCGCGTCACAAGCGCGTTTGGTGGGGACACGGGACAGGGCCTTCTCCGTGGTGGCCCCCCGCCTCTGGAACGCCCTCCCGAAAGACCTCAGACAAGCCCCTACACTGGCAGTCTTCAGAAAGAATTTGAAAACCTGGCTGTTCAAATGTGCCTTCTCAGACTAGGAACCCTATGCGCCTTCCCTGACTAGAAACCCCAGTTCCAAATCCCAGAAGCACTTTAGTCAGAACCAAGACCACCTCACACTGCACACCGCACTTATATTATAATCCCATATCCCTCCGACACATCAGCACTTTTAATCCTGTACCCCTACTCCGGCCGGCTCAGTTTTTAATAATGTCTTGTTGTATTGCTATTGTATTTGTTTTTCTGCTTAATTGTCTTATTTGCTATGTATTGTGTTGTTGTATTGTGTGGGCTTCGGCCTGTTGTAAGCCGCATCGAATCCTTCGGGAGATGCTAGCGGGGTACAAATAAAGTTATAATAATAATAATAATAATAATAATAATAATATAATAGACTGCCGGTCATGATGCTGGGGAAAAGGAAGGCAAAAGGAAGAGGGGCCGACCAAGGGCAAGATGGATGGATGGCATCCTTGAAGTGACTGGACTGACCTTGAAGGAGCTGGGGGTGGTGATGGCCGACAGGGAGCTCTGGCGTGGGCTGGTCCATGAGGTCACGAAGAGTCGGAGACGACTGAACGAATGAACAACAACAATGGTAATGGGAGAGCAAAAGGCACATAGTTTACATTTTGTTCAGTAAGAATTGGATTTAAGAGGAGGCATTCTCCATCCAGGCAAGGACCTGTAGCTTTAGAGGACTAATCCTTAGAGATAGTGGGTGTACAGATTCACCACGATTCTCGTGTTAAATATTTAAAGCGTTTACCTTATAGAGCGGGTGGCACATGGGCAGTTGGCGGATGACGGCGAGAGCGAACACTTCGGCCAACAGGTGTGTTCGCAGCAGATGGGCGACAATCTGATGGGCGTAGAAGTCGGAATTGCGCACCCAGGTTTTGGCCAGGATCCAGTCCCATTCAGGGTCACTGGGCAGGAAGATGGGCGACTCCGGGCCTGGGGTCTGGCTGAGCTACACAACAGTAAAAGATCCATAGATTAACAGAGTCAGGAAAGACCACAATCTCTTTCTGCTCCTCCTCTAACCTCCAGCTATGTTTTGCTTCCCTATCAAAAGGTGGTAAGTTAAGAATGAAGACTTTGCCTATTTTTTCATTAATTGGTCAGGCTGTAGATTGCTATGTCATACATAATGCAAAGCCATTGCTAAACATTTCAGTTCATAACCTACTGATGGGGAGATATTGGAAATATAGATATTGATTTATGTATAAATTGTATGTATTTTACAAGCCCTGAAATGTATAGAAAAATCAGGCTCTCTCTGTATCAGAAATCCAAGCTGACAGGACAAGCAAGCTGCTGTCCAGGCACAGCAAGAGGGGGGCTGAACACTCCAGGAAGGGGGCATGTTATCTATACAGAGACTGGTACCGAGCCCAGCGTCTAACTTCTAAGTAAGGAGCCTCATGACAGGTCAAAGTAGGCCCCTTGATTTATCTCACAGCACTTTGTCCTCCAAAGCACTTTATATTGTTTTAGGTCTTCTTGTATGTTCCCACAAACCGCCCCATCATTCTCGCCCATGTCCAGCATTATTTTTTAATCTTTTAAATTTAATTACATTTGGCCTACCCATAGATTTTAAAGTGTGTTGTCCTATTGATAATGCTTATGTTATTGTTTTATTGTTTTGTTGTTTTTAAATTGCTTGTATTGTTATTGTTATTGCTTGTATTGTGTATTTTGGGCTCGGCCTCATGTAAGCCGCACCGAGTCCCCTGGGGAGATGGTAGCGTGGTATAAATAAAGTGTTATTATTATTATTGATTGATGAATGTAAGCTGCATGCTGCTATTCTAGAAAGAAATACACAGACATGCCTTTTGTATGTTGGAAGATAGAATTTGATATTCCTATGATGCTAAAGTGATGCAGAAAATGATGTCAATGTACGTAGAAGCATGTTATTTGTTTGCCTGCAATTGGGGGGTATAAAAGCCACAGTCAATGCCTATATTGGGGCTCTGGTTGCTTTTTGGACATAGCTCCACTCCAGAGCCCCAGCTGGAAATAAAATCCGTGCTTTTGAGACCTCCGGAACTCTCTTTGTCTCTTTTCCTAAAACTTTCTCCCTGCCATTTCACTACAATTGTCTACTTTGTTGTGGAGTCAACAAGAGAATCCAGGAAAGCAACATAGAGGAACCAACATACACTTTGCTAAACAAAGGCAAAGTCCTAACAGTTTTGGTTTTCTTTCTTTTCCGCCCAAAAAGTGTTCTGGCATCCTGAGAAACACTCATGCCCAACATGTAATAAGAAATTCAATGTGCAGATTTGATAAATGTGAATTTAATATGATGTGTGGGAATGAATGAAAGATGAATGTATGGATAGACCTATGATTTAAAGTTATCAAGAAGTCATTCATGACATAATACATCCTAGTTGCCAGGGGTTTTCACCCAGAAAATGTGGTACCTGAATGGCCAAAGGCATGAGATGCATCTGTTTGGAGAGGTGCAACAAGCACAAGGGCACAGCGATGTACTGCTGACATCCATTGATCAGTTTGGTTGGGAGCCCCTCCAGGATCTTATAGTCTGCAATGAAGATGTTGCCCTTCTGTGGTGGAAAAGAAAGACACAAACTCTGAACAAAGGGGGAAACTGAGAGTTTGGTAGCAGGGGCCCGAATTATTGAGTTTTTCACTCATTGCCCTGCTAAGGATATTGAAAATATGAGATTGTGTAATCTGCTCAAAAGTAGCAGCAGAGTGGGTGGAAAATAGACAATATTCAAGGTTCAACAATATCCAGTCTCCTCTTTCGACTAGCAGCATAACATTAAATGTAAAATACTGAAGGGGACTAGGGACAAAGACCCGATTTCATTTGATTTATAAATAACAATAGTATGAAGAATAGTTTGATTAAATAAATAGTCTTAGTGTTTAGAACAGGACCAAATGGAATTTGATATACTGAATGATTGTAATTGGTATCCTTCTGGGACACCTTGCGGGAATGGCCCTTGGAGGTACTGTTTTGCTGTGGCTCCGGTCCTTCCTAGAGGGCCGATCTCAGAAGGTGTTGCTGGGGGACACCTGTTCTGCCCCACAACCATTGTCTTGTGGGGTTCCTCAAGGCTCAATATTGTCTCCCATGTTGTTTGACATCTACATGAAGCCGCTGGGGGAGATCATCCGGAGTTTCGGAGTACGATGTCACCTGTACGCGGATGATGTCCAACTCTGTCACTCCTTTCCACCTTCTTCTAAGGAGGCTGTTCAGGTCCTGAACCGGTGTTTAGCCGCTGTGACGGTCTGGATGAGGGCGAACAAATTGAAATTGAATCCAGACAAGACAGAGGCACTCCTGGTCAGTCGTAAAGCCGAACAGGGCACAGGGTTACAGCCTGTGTTGGATGGGGTCGCACTCCCCCTGAAGACGTAGGTTCGCAGCTTGGGAGTGACCCTGGACTCATCGCTGAGCCTGGAACCTCAGATTTCAGCAGTGACCAGGGGAGCATTCGCACAGTTAAAACTTGTGCGCCAGCTGCACCCGTACCTTGGGAAGCCTGACTTGGCCATGGTAGTTCACGCTCTGGTTACATCCCGTATAGACTACTGCAACGCTCTCTACGTGGAGTTGCCTTTGAAGACTGCTTGGAAGCTTCAAATGGTCCAATGCTCGGCAGCCAGGATGCTAACAGGAGCGGCACTCAGGGAGTGCACAGCTCCTCTGTTGCACCAGCTCCACTGGCTGCCAGTTTGCTACCGGGCACAATTCAAAGTGCTGGCTTTGGCCTATAAAGCCCTAAACGGTTCTGGCCCAACTTACCTGTCCGAACGCATCTCCTCCTATGAACCAGCTAGGACATTAAGATCATCTGGGGAGGCCCTGCTCTCGGTCCCGCCAGCATCACAAGCATGCCTGGTGGGGACGAGAGACAGGGCCTTCTCAGTGGTGGCCCCTCGGCTGTGGAACGCCCTTCCTACAGATATCAGATTGGCCCCCTCCCTATTGGCATTTCGGAGGAAAGTGAAGACCTGGTTGTTCGAACAGGCATTCAATTAAGCAGTGTAATTGATTACAGGAACACGGAATAACAGATTCTGATTCTAGGGATGAGACACGAATTATTTGTCATATTGATGTTTAATTGTTGTTATGCTATTGTTTTTAAATGTTCCAATGGTTTTGTAATGTGTGCATTGAAATTGCTACTATTAACCGCTTTGAGTCGCCTAAGGGCTGAGAAATGAAGTAAATAACTAAATAAATAAATAAATTTAGACGAAATCACTTTACGAGTCTTAGTCTCCTTAGTATCAGAAGGGATTTGCCATGAGAAAACACACAGTAAAAACACCACAAACACTAACAAATGGCGGATGAAAGGAGAGAAGCAAAACAATGAAGCAACCCCTCACTTCCTTAGATATGCAAAAGGGATCAATTGAAGGTCAAGCCACAAGCAGGGCAATAAAACCTTAGAGACAGCAGCCTTAGATGCAGGGATTAGAAACAGCATCTTGATGTATTTTGGTTTTGATTGATTGGGCCAAACTGAGGCTTCAAACAGGACCAAATGGAATTTGATATACTGAATGATTGTAATCGGGAAATTGTAGGGGGAATCTGCTTACTTAACTGTTTGGACAAATAACTGATCGAAGTTCCAGATGGGAAGATGAAAAGAGAGCATGGCAATAGAGCGTGTTGGTTGAAGGTGATGTAAGAGGTATGAATTGTACTTGGAAATCTTATAAAAGCCTCAGACAAGCTGCATCTTGTGTGGCAGTTCCTTTCATGCTTCCTTTGATGTGTACAGTGTTCCCTCGCTACTTCACGGTTCGCTTTTTGCGGACTTGCTGTTTTGCGGGTTTTTGACCCCCAGTTTATGAATGGTTGCCGTTGCCCAGAGCGGCGTTCTAATCCTGCCGCCTGGCAAAGATGGAGTGTGGAAGGGGTTTTCATTTATTTATTTGTTTGTTTACAGTATTTATATTCCGCCCTTCTCACCCCACAGGGGACTCAGGGTAGATCACAAAGTACACATACATGACAAACAATCCATGCCAAGGACACACAACAGATATAGACAGACAGTCAGAAGCTATTTAACTTTTCTGACCACCAGGGGAGCTGTCACTTTCATTGTCCATCTGCAACACTGATGAAGTACTTCCGCATTCCCCGCATGCTTTTGCTGGAGTGCTTTGCCGGAGTCTTTTTTATGGCCTCGTAAATTAGTTAAATTAGCCTCCCCACACATAGGTGGTACCTAATTTTCCTACTTGACAGATGCAACTGTCTTTCGGGTTGCAAAGGTCAACAACAAGCTACACAATTGGTCGGAAGCTCACTCCGACCCAGGCTGGCTTCAAACTCATGACCTTTTGGTCAGAAGTGATCTTAATGCAGCTGACACTCAGACAGCTGTGCCACAGTCCCGATTTCACCCTCCCCCTCAGGAGAGAGGCAGCCAATCAAGAGAGAGAGGAGATACAAAGCAATATGTAAATCACAGCAAATGTTAGGATAGAGCAAAGTAGGAGAAAATGCACCAGTTGGCTTTTGCCTGAGCCATCACCCGTTCTTCTCCTCTTCCTCCTAATATATTACTGGAGTACAAACTACCTTTGCATTTTGAACTCAGTTTGCAGCAATAGAAGTCTCAAGAGGAAAAGTGAGAGAAGGAGAGAAAAACTCAGACAATTTAAGTTTATATGGAAAAGTGGGATGGCAGAAGATTAACCGGGACAGTCCATATGAGTTGGAAATCACAGTGTGGACACTGGGTGAATTAGAGAGAATATAATCTTATAACTTGGTTTGTTCTCAGACCAACAAACACCTGTTTCCTTTCCTACCTCCAGCTCTTTCTCCAGCGTAGTATCATCTCCAAGGGACTTGGCTACCATTGCATTGGTCACAGGGAAGTTTGGAGGGATCTTGGTGCATCTCTGGATCATTCTCGGATTCAGTCCATTCAGGAACTGGTACCCAAAGAAGGCATCGTCTTTCCAGTGTGTTGTGATATATTCTAGAATGGGAAACAGGAATTCAACTGGGCAAGTTCAATTTACAAAAAGAGATTATATCAAGAATATATATTCCTCTTCCATAGTTCCAACTTGCCTAAAGGAGGCACTTGTGAGACCTATTTTTTAAAAAGCCTTCCCTGAACCCTTCTAGAATGGACAACTATCAGCCAGTGTCCAACCTCCCTTTCTGAGCAAGGTCTTGGAGTGTGTGGTGGCCTCCCAACTCCAGGGATTTCTGGATGAGATGGATTATCTAGATCCATTTAAATCTGGTTTCAAGCCTGGCTATGGAACAGAGACAGCTTTGGTTGCCTTGGTGGATGAGCTACGCAGAAGGCTAGACAGGGGGAGGGTGTCCCTGTTGGTTATCCTGGATCTCTCAGTGGCTTTCGATACCATTGACCATGCTATCCTCTTGGGTCGTCTCACTGGGATGGGACTGGGAGGTGCTGTCTTACAGGGGCTCCGATCCTTCCTGGAGGGCCATACCCAGGAGGTAATGCTGGGGAACTCCTGTTCAAACCCCTGGCCATTGACCTGTGGGGTTCCACAGGGTTCCATTTTGTCCCCCATGCTGTGTAACATACACAATAAACCTCTTGGAGAGGTCATCTGGAGTTTTGGAGTAGGGTGCCACCTAGATGCGACTGACACCCAATTCTACTACTCCTTTCTTCCTAATGCCAAGGAAGCTGTCCTGACTCTAAACCAATGCCTGTCATCAGTAATGGTCTGGATGAGGGCAGACAAATTGAAACTTAATCCAGACAAGACAGAGGTACTCCCGGTTAGTCAGAAGGCAGACCAAGGAATAGGAATCCAGCCTGTGATTGAGTTACACTTGCCCTGAAGACACAGGTCCGCAGTTTGACGGTCCTTCTGTACTCGGTGCTGAACCTGGAGTCTCAAGTAACTGTGGTGGTCAAGGGGGCCTCTGCAGAATTAAAACTTGTGTGCCAACTGTGCCCATTCCTTGAGAAGCCAGATCTGGCCACAGTGGTCCATGCCTTAGTTACATCCCATCTGGATTACTGTAATGCGCTCTATGTGGAGCTGCCTTCGAAGAGTGCGCAGAATCTTCAGCTGGTCCAAAGAGCTACAGCCAGGTTGCTAACTTGGGCTAGCTGCAGGGAGCAGACAACCCCCATTGCAGCAGTTCCACTGGCTGTTACTGGGCACAATTCAAAGTGCTGGTTATGACCTTTACAGTACTAGATGGTTCAGGTCCAGGCTATTTGTCTGACCGCATCCCCTTGTATCAACCTGCCCAAGTCCTGAGATCCTCAGGAGAGGCCCTTCTCTCAGTCCCACCTCCATCTCAAGCTCAGTTGGTGGGAACGAGAAAGCGGGCCTTCTTGGTGGCTGCCCCTTGACTCTGAACTCCTGCCCAGGGAAGCCAGAATGGCCCCCTCCCTGCTGTCTTTCCAGCAGACTAAAACCTTTTTATTCAAACAGGCATTTAAAAATGGAGATGTTTCAAGATGTAGTCAGGGTATGCTGTTGTTTTTAACTTTGAATATGTTTTGATGCAAATGTGAGTAGATCAATAGGTACCCCTCTGGCGGGAAGGTAACGGCACTCCTTGCAGTCATGCCGGCCACATGACCTTGGAGGTGTCTATGGACAACGCCAGCTCTTCGGCTTAGAAATGGAGATAAGCACCAGAGTCAGACATGACTGGACTTAATGTCAGGGGACAACCTTTACCTTTATGTTTTGAGGGATTTTAACTGTTTGTGTTTAACTCTGTTTTAATGTTTGTTTTTGTATATTTTAAATTTTATATTAATGCTTTTATGTCAAGCTATTTTAAGTCCCCTTTGGGGAGATAAAGTGGAGTATAAACATATATATAATAATAAAATGAAATAATAATAAAAATGAAAAAAAGAATGATGAAGAATGCAATGGTGGAATCTGCACGCATTATTCGCCGATACATCACACAGTCCTAGACACTTGGAAAGTGTCCGACGTGTGATCCAATATAACAGCCAGCAGAGTGTCTGCTGTGGACTCATCTTGTTGTGTTTCAAATAATAATAATATAATATAATATAATAATATATAATAAAACTTTCTTTATATTCTGCTCTGTCTCCCAGGATTGAAGAGAAACAACTGGAAACAACTGGAAAAGCGGACACGATACGAGGATTTAAGAATCAAACTGCAAAGACTCTGGCAAAGCCAGTCAAGGTGGTCCCAGTGGTGATTGGCACACTGGGTGCAGAGACCTTGGCCTGCACTTAAACACAATCGGCGCTGACAAAATGACCATCTGCTAGCTGCAAAAGGCCACCTTACTGAGATCTGCACGCATTATTCGCCGATACATCACACAGTCCTAGACACTTGGGAAGTGTCCGACATGTGATCCAACAGCCAACAGAGTGATCTTGTTTGCTGTGGACTCATCTTGTTGTGTTTTTACTACTAATAATAATAATATATTGATCTCCATTTGAAGCATATGAAGCGAACTGAGAGCAAAGGAGGAAGGTGGGAGGAAGATGGGAAACTGGGGAAATAGGGACGTTATTAGCGGGGCTTCTGTCTTACTTGATAGATCTGATATGTCGACCCACAAAGTCTTCTTGATGTCTTCCAGGTCCTCCCAGGATTCGTGGTTGTCAGAAAAACCTCTCAGCTTGAGCTCTAAATTCCTAAAGGTGGTAGGACAGGAGAACATCTTAGGGGTGGCTCTGCGTGACATATCACAATGTTTACTCTGATCAGGCAGCAATTCCCAAACCAATGCAACGATTACTACTTCAGATATTAAATGCAACATTCAGCTTGTCCATTAAAAGAAATGCAACTTTCCTCAAATAAGCTTTCGCCTTCTTCCCATACAACTTACTTGCTAACAGCGCGTTTAGCAAAAAGAACCCCTTTGGTGAAGGAAAATTGGTCTTCATTTTGTAGCTCTGACATGGATGAGACGTTCAGACAGTGAACAACGCCGTCGGCATATATTTTCCACCTATAGGGAGGGAGAGGAATAATAATAATAATAATAATAATAATAATAATAATAATAATAATACTTTATTTATATTCCACCCTTCTCACTATGAAGGGGACTCAGGGCGGATCACAGTACACATACACGGCAAACATTCAATGCCGCTTTGTATAGATCAGTGGTTCTCAACCTTCCTAATGCCATGACCCCTTAATACAGTCCCTCATGTTGTGGTGACCCCCAACCATAACATTGTTTTTGTTGCTACTTCATAACAGTCATTTTACTACTGTTATAAATCATAATGTAAATATCAGATATGCAAGATGTATTTTCATTCACTGGACCAAACTGGGCACAAATACCCAATGCAACCTACATGTAAATGCTAGTGGGGTTGGGGGAGGATTGATTTTGTAATTTGGGAGTTGTAGTTGCTGGGATTTATAGTTCACCTATAATCAAAGAGCATTCTGAACTCCACCTGTGATGGATTTGAACCTATTTTGCCACACAGAACTCCCATGACCAACAGAAAACACTGGAAGGGTTTGTTTGGCATTGACCTTGAGTTTGGGAGTTGTAGTTCACCTACATCCAGAGAGCACTGACATCTTGACCAAACTTGGTACGAATCCCCACTATGCCCAAATGTGAACACTGGTGGTGTTTGAGGAAAATAGACCTTGACATTTGGGAGTTGTAGTTGCTGGGATTTATAGTTCACCTACAATCAAAGAGCATTCTGAACTCCACCAATGATAGAATTGGTTCAAACTTCCCACATGGAATCCCCATGACCATCAGAAAATACTGTTTTCTGATGGTCTTTGGCGACCCCTCTGACACCCACTTCGCGACCCCCTCAGGGGTCCCGACCCCCAGGTTGAGAAACACTGGTATATTTATTTATTTATTTATTATTTATTATTTGCACTTGTTAACCGCCACTCTCAGCCCGAGGGCGACTCGTGGCGGTGTACAAAACATAGAACATAGAAAGACAACAGTTTACAATAAATCGAGACCATAACACAACATCTCACGAGTACACAACTAATTAAACTAAAAATCCGCTTCGTCTTGTTTGGGGTCATAACCAGTCTCATAGTCATGGTCCATTCCGGTGGTCATTCCAAAAACATAGCACTTAATTGAAGGCCTTTTCGAAGAGCCAGGTTTTCAGGCCCTTGCGGAAGGCCATGAGGGAAGGCGCCTGTCTTATTTCAGCAGGGAGGGAGTTCCATAGCCGGGGGGCCACCACCGAGAAGGCCCGCTCTCTCGTCCCCGCCAGGCGTCAATACACAGACAGACAGAATAGAAGGAGGTCGTTTGTTTCAATTTAGTGTCCAGCCGTTTTGGTGCCATGGAAGGTTGGGCTTGAATCCAGCCACAGGGGGTGCTGTTGCTCCATCTCTATGATGAAGAGCCATCAGGACTTCCTCCTTCCTTTTTGGTCACCCAGCATTTTCTGATCTTCTTTCTTTATGGCGTCGTAAAACACCTCCCCCACTTTTAGCGGTACCTAATTTCTCTAATTACAGCTAAAGCTGTTTTTTACTTAGGTAAACAGTGAACTAGGCTGACAATTTGCAGCTCATGCCGACTCGGGGCTTTGAACTTGCAACCTTTTTTGCCTGCATCAATACCAAGAATCCTCAGAGGTTGCGTAGGACTTCATAATGCAAAAACTTTGTGTATGACTTCAGAATTATCATATTTTGAGAGTGGCGTTGGTTTTTCAATTACAAAATGAGGCAGGTTGCTGGGTTGGAACAGAGCACAGGAATCAACAGAAGCATGAGGTTCTTTATCTGAAGCAATGGCTGGCTCTGATTTTTAGCTGGCGCAAGATGCACAGGTTTAGATTCACTTACCCATAATCAGACTGCTTCTTCTGAAGCTCCTTAATTCGGGAGTCTTTGAGTAAGGGTAGTATATCCATGGCAGGGGTTTTAGCTGGTGGAACATATATAGAAAAGGTTGTTTATATCCTTAGGAGCCTGCTTGATTCGTTCATTCAAGGTATGCATCACAGGTGATAAAATGGCTTGGAATTTCAGATTTTCCAAACACACACAACCTCATATAGTACATCAACCTAACATATCACTTCTGAAAGATGACTTTTATGGGTGAAAAATGGATGCAACAAGTGGTCTACAGCATAAAAAGTCTTCACGCTTCATTACAGGGTGAGTTCTCACATCTCCTTGCAACAAGTGGTAGAACTGACCTCAAAACAACAAATTTTACACTAACTATACAATTTCTTTGTGGCTGGGTAATTGCTCCCAGGGCTGAGGTGCACCTCTAGTGGGTATTATCCCTGGACTGCACAAGTCTCTTGTGTCATCCCGTCTCCAGTCCTCAATGAGTAGCTAGACTAGAGATAGGATTAGAGTGAGGCATACTTATCCCAGGAGGAGCCTTTGTCTTTACTCTTCTTGCTTGCCATTATGTCCTCCACCTTTGAAGATGTAGCAACGGAATCTCTGTATTGCCGAAGGCTTTCATGGCTGGAATCACTGGGATGCTGTAAGTTTTTGGGCTGTATGGCCATGTTCCAGAAGCATTCCCTCCTGATGTTTTGCCTACATCTATGGCAGGCATCCTTAGAGGTTATCAGGTCAGACCTCAAAACCTCTGAGGATGCCTGCCATAGATGCAGGCGAAACGTCAGGAGAGAATGCTTCTGGAACATGGCCATACAGTCCAAAAAACTTACAGCAACCCAATTGAATCTCTATAAGGTGTGAGGTAACTTCCTATTTAAAAGTATTTTTATTGTTGTGGGTTTGGCCATATGGTCATCCTCCATTGTTGGCTCTCTCTCTGCCTAATGTTTATGTTTTTATTGATTTTGTTATGGTTTTATTATCTGATTATTATCTTATTGTATTGAAATTGTATTTTATGGTGTTGGCACCAATTGTAAACTGCTCCGAGTCGCCCGTGGACTGAGAGGGATGGTACAGAAATATAGCAAATAAATAAATAAATAGATTTTCTTCCTTCCAGTAAGAACACATTTTGTCTCTCTCCAGGCAAAACGTAACTGCATGTATATCTTTTACCTTTCCTATTATTATATGTTTTAGTAAGCTCGTTAGCCCCAAGACCTTGTCTATCTAGAATGGATTTCTTTTTACTTCAATAAATATTTTGAACCTAAAGTTGTGACTCTGCAATCCTGTGCCATCCTGTTGAATGGAAGCTAATCCTGACTCACCACACGTAAGTTTCTGCTGGATATGAAGTTTGCTTCTAGCACTCTGGTATATTTTTGGTGGAATCGCCCCAACTGAGGGTTATTTTGAGCCTAACAGCTCAGATTCCCAACAACTCCATGACCCCAAAATTTGAAAGTAGAGCTCTACGATTATCTAGGACAGGGCCAAAGGACACTTAATGCTCGGAAGTGACCCTTCTCCCATCTCGATAGCCATGAGAGCTGCATAGGCAGCTTTCTTACAGAACAGTGTTTAACTATGCCAAAACAAATGTGCATAACCTCTTGTCATCCTATGGATTGGGAAGACCTTTCCCCTTTTTCTCCTCGGACTTTGACTTACCTGTCCCTTCCCTCAGCTCCAAAGTCTGGCACCCTTCCATCCACTGGTAACAAGGGAACTTGTAGACCACCTTTTTCGGGGATGTCACGGTGATAAAAGTGCAGTACCAGTCCGTGGCGAAGAGCTTGAGTTGGTATTCTTTGTGGAAACGGAGGAGTATAATGTCTCCCAGGTCGTGTTTGCAGGAGACCTCATAATCACTCACCTGTAACAGAAAGGTCATAGGACAGACGTATCAACGGAGCAAGCCATGTTTCAGCTCTGGTTGAAGAATCTTGCCTACAACAGTATACATAGCATGAAAATTGGGATGTTGGAATGGAAATAGGAGGTGGCTTCTCAACTTTAATGGTCAAGGAGAAGAAGGAATTTCAGCAACGGATGGCTGACAAGCAACGCCGCTGAAATTTCCACCTTTACACAACCACTAAAGGGACAGAAGCCTCTCCAGTCTTCACTCTGGAAACCCGAATTGGTAGCTCCATGGATGGAGAGCTGGTTGAGAGGTTCTTCTCTGTGTTCCACAAACCTTATGTATAAAGCTGGTGTTGAGTAGAACCAGGGACTTCTTTATGGATGCTCCAAGGTTCTGGATATGCCTAAATATCAATAGTCTTTAGGAATGTTTTACAGTATAACCCCCACAAAAAGGCAAAGGTTTCCCCTGACATTCAGTCTAGCCCAGGCATGTAGCCAGGGGGGGAGCTTGAGGGGCTTCAGCCCCCCCCCCCCCCAAAATTCTCATGGTGGTCTGCGAGAAGGCCTTACTGGTACATTATTTAAACTGTTAAGTTTATTCATATCATGATCTGATCACCATGCTCAATATATCCCATATGCATGGGGGTATTGGGGTAACGATACAAAAGGTTTGCTAGGGTAGACCCTCTTTCACTCAGACTCAGCCCCCCCCCACCCCCCGAATCAACCTCAGCTCCCCCCAAATCAAAATCCTGGCTACGGGCCGTGTCCAATTCTGTTGGTGGTGCTCATCTCCATTTCTAAGCCGAAGAGCTGGTGTTGTCCGTATAACACCTCCAAGGTCAGGTGGCTAGCATGACCTGCATGGAGCGCCATTACCTTCCTGCCAGAGCGGTACCTATTGATCTACTCACATTTGCATGTTTTTGAACTGCTAGGTTGGCAGAAGCTGGCCTAACAGCAGGAGCTCACCCCACTCCCCAGATTCGAACTGCCAACCTTTCGGTCAGCAAGTTCAGCAGCTCAGTGGTTTAACCTGCTGTGCCACCAGGGGACCCATAACCCCCATATCTGTAGGGAATGTTTGCAGTGAAACAGCAGTTACACAAAACCATGGACATGGACCAGCACCAGATAAATTGCCTATATAAGATGGGGATTCTAAAAGCGACAGTCCAAAATCAAACTATTCCAAGATCTTTTTTTCCAGCATTCATAGAATCATAGAATCATAGAACCAAAGAGTTGGAAGAGACCTCATGGGCCATCCAGTCCATCCCCCTGCCAAGAAGCAGGAATATTGTATTCAAGTTGCCATCTGTGCAATGTACCAGGAAATGTCTTATGGGTAGGCAGAATGGATAGATAGATAGATAGATAGATAGATAGATAGATAGATAGATAGATAGATAGATAGAAAGACAAACAGGCAGATGGACGGATGGACAGATGGATGGATAGAGACAAAGAATAAGATAGAATGGTTTATGGGCTCTGTGACCCAAATGGCCCACATTTCCCCCAATTACCGCTCCAGGATAGAAGTCCACGCCCCAGTTGTCCAGGACAGTTTTGGGGCTCTCTCCCTTGGTGCCCACCAAGGTGATGAAAATTGAGTCGAGGGTCCCCGCATCGATGTAGTACCCCGTTGTCACCCGGACTTTGTACTTGACAGTCATATTGCTGGGGCTCAGTTACTACACTCAACAGGGAGCTGAATATCTCAGTTTGTCCTGGAGCTCCACCACAAGCCTTCAGTCCAGAGGATGGGATTTATAGCATCCCAGCTTCCATCAGCCTGGGTTCCCACCCTTTCTACCACAGCGGCCCCTCCCTTGGAAAGAGGAAAGGGAAACCAGGCCAAGAACCAGGTTGCTTCCTGGGTGCTAAAAGGACAAAGGTGGATGTTTGGAGAAAGAGCTTTGTCCTGTGGTTTGACATCGATGAATCAATGCCACCCTTCAGATTAGAACATTCTGGTTCTTCAAGACAGAAATGCCATCAGTCTCAATGTGACAAGAAATGCAATTCTATGATTAATGTGACAAAACCTGGGGTCAGCCAGGGAAAATCATCAGAAAGACAGATGAGACAGTAGGCTGTCTAGGAAAAACAAGAAAGGAAGACATGGCCTTTTCTGCAACCATAACAAAGGAATGGAAGGCATTTCCCTCAGAAAAACGTGTGCAGAAAAAAGTAGAGGCAAAATCTGGCTCATTGAGTCAGCCCAGATTGCCTTGCAGTTTTGTTGTATAGACCAAGGTGCAGTTCTCTGATATCAGGGTCTAGTCCTCAGTCTCAGCACCTGGGCCAATTTCTACACTTCCCAAGGCAAAGAGGAGGAATCACAGGGCGAGAGAATTGCCTTCCAAAGTGTGTGTATGTGTGCTACAGTGTTCCCTCACTTATCGTGGGTGTTACATTCCAGGACTGTGCTGGTACGGCTGTCCCAGGAACTCCAGCTTCTTCTTTTTTCTTTGAGTGTTTGCATGTATTTCAAGGTTCCATGCATTTTGCAAAAAGGTGGCTTCCCTTGGTTTGCAGCCACCTGCCTATCATCATTGTTGGTTTTTTTTAGTTCCGCCCCTTTCCCCAGGGTTCAGGAAGGAAAGGGAGCCATTTTAGCTCAGTCTTACAGTTGAAAGCTTAGCTACAGGACGTGAATCAGCTCCACCTGTAGAGAAGCTTCATTTCTTAGGAAATTCCAGGGGAAAACAGTTCCAAAGGACTCCAGCTGGAGAATCTACAAAGCCTTGACTGGTAGGTCTACTCGGGACCCAAGAAGCAGTTTGGAGCCGGGAGTAGAGCCCACACCAGCAAAGTTTAGAAAGTAGATTGCCCAAGGAGGGGTTAAAAAGGGTTTTCCTCTTAAAGAAAAGAAACAGTTCACGAAGCCAGTTGCCTGTCCCTTGTGGACAAGATTAAGAAAGCCACCAGTTGATTCAAAGCTTTGAAGTATTTGTTTGACCTGTTGAAGATCTGAGAAGTATTTGATTGTTTTGTTGAAGACCTAAGCAATAATAAAGGACTTTGTTAAACTTTTCAAGCTTCTAAATACTTTGTATAGGAAAATCCTTAGGGCCTCTCAGCGGAGGCACCCCGGCTTCCCGCTGGGCACAAAGACAATTCCTGTTCAAAAGCCAATTGCTATAGGCCCAGTGCATGACAGCACAAGGACCACCCACAAAAAGTGAATATCCGCCACATAAGGACACTATATATGTATATTGAGTTCCGAGGATGAGGCAAAAGTGAAGAGATTTTTTTGTTTTGTTTTGTTTTTGTTTGTTTATTTTTGCTAGCTATCTCTGCTTTGCTTTGCAATTTCTCTTGATTGGCTGCCTGTCTCCCAAGGGGGAGAGTGAAACTCCATCGTTGCCAGGAGGTGGGATTAGAACACCATTCTGGGCAATGGCAACCATTCATAAACTGGGAGGCAAAAACCCGCAAAACAGCAAGTCCACGAAAAGCAAACCACAAAGTAGCAAGGGAACACTTTATTGGAATATTGATAACCAGTACTATTACATCAGATTCTCTATGAGACTCATGCCTGTTACATTTTTACAACTATGTTTATTTTTCACAGCACAATTAAGGCCAAGGCATTTCAGGCAAATCTCAGGCCCCAAATACCTCTATCATCTTTTATAGTAGGGTTTCTCAATCTTCCGAATGCCACGACCCCTTAATACAGTTCCTGATGTTGTAGTGACCCCCAACCATAAAATTATATTCATTGCTACTTCATAAAGCTTTGCGTGTGACCCATGGAATTGAAAGAGGGCTCTGCAGCAAAGTCTGGCCAGATCCGTGAAGGAGGATCTGGCCAGGGTGGTCCATGCCTTACTCACCTCCAGATTGGACTACTGTAATGCGCTCTACGTGGGGCTGCCCTTGAAAACGGCTCAGAAATTTCAGTTGGTCCAACGGGCGGTGGCCAGATTGTTAACTGGTGTTCCTTTCAGGGAGCGGTCAACCCTTCTGTTTAAGGAGCTCCATTGGCTGCCTTTCATTTTCCAGTCCCAGTTCAAGGTGCAGGTTCTTACCTACAAAGCCCTGAACGGTTTGGGACCTGCCTACCTGCGTGACTGCATATCTGTGTACGAACCCACACGATCTCTTCGTTCATCTGGAGAGGCCCTGCTTGCGCGATTGGTGGGGACGAGGGAGAGGGCCTTCTCAGTGGTGGCCCCTCAACTCTGAAACTCACTTCCCAAGGACATCAGGCATGCCCCAACTCTGGCAGTCTTTAGGAGGAGCCTGAAAATGTGTTTGTTTCAGTGTGCCTTCCCAGAATAAGGAACTCTCAGCATTGCGCCCTCAAAATGCACTTTACACTGATCTAAGATTGTTTGTATGCTCTCTCCTATCTTGCTCATGCCTAGCATTATTTTTAACTTTAATTACATTTGGTCCAGCCATAGATTTTAATTGTGTATTGTATTGCTGTCATTATATATTGCTTTTTTGTTTATGAGTTTTGAATTGTTTTATTATTGTTGTTATTGCTTGTATTGATGTATTGTGGGCTCGGCCTCATGTAAGCCGCACCTAGTCCCTTGGGGAGATGGTAGCGGGGTACAAATAAAGTTTATTATATTATATTATTATTATAACTGTAATTTTGCTATTGGTATGAGTCGTCATGTAAATATCTGATATGCAGGAGGTATTTTCATTCACTGCACCAAATTTGGCACAAATACCCGATATGCCCAAATGTGAATACTGGTGGGGTTGGGGGGATTGATTTTGTCATTTGCGAGTTGTAGTTGCTGGGATTCATAGTTCACCTACAATCAAAGAGCATTCTGAACTCCACCAATGATGGAATTGAACCAAACTTGGCACACAGAACTCCCATGACCAACAGTCTTCTGAGGATGATTTGTCAGGTGCAGAAGTTAATGAGATTGAAGATAGAAGACTTTTGTAAACAAAGGGAAAGTTCTCAAGCTCACTAAAGGTTGGCCTATCTGCTGAAAAAGAGAGATAAGAAATCTTTATCTGGTTGTAAAGGTGAACAGAATTTTTTCCTTTCATTTCATGAGACAGGAAAGGCTTTATATGTTCAGGGAAAGGATTTTAGCTCAGTCTAGTCAACACTGTACTTTCATGACCACCTTGTTTTCAAATAGATTTCTAGCTTCATGTTTCAAGCTTTGCCAGGTTCCTGTACTGAGTATTGGATCTATATGCTGCCTTGTTCTTTTGAATTTTACATCCTAGGATCTTGTGTTTTTACCTTTGTACCTTGAATTTCATGGATTAATTTTTACCTTTGGAATATACTGATTTGGACTATACTGTTTCTATCATTTTTATTGCTTTGCTTTCATATATCCTTCAATAAACTGCTTGCAGAGCACTGTGGCAGGTTCAGGAATAGCCGACCAGACTTTGTTGCAGAGCCCTGTTTCAATCCCATGGGTCACACGCAAAGCTGTGGATAATGTGCACCAGCACTGCTTAATGGACTTTGCCTTCAAGTCAACAAGCCCAAGAGGAAGAACAGGCTTTCTCCAAGCCCTAAAAAAAGCATTAAAAGAAGAGTGAAGCCTCATGAAGCTAATATGAGCAGCAAAAAAGAGGAAGATGGGCAGAAAGATAAAAGATAACCCTACACAGATCAATACAATCGTGCTAACACCTGCAGGTGTTGCGCATGTGGTGTGTATAACATCAACAATCCTTGTTTTCCAAAATCTGGGTAGGAATGGCATCAGGCGCCCCGTGCTCAGGTATGTCAGTAAAAAGTACTGTAGTCCTCCAGGGGCAAACGTGTGGATTTTTAAACATTTTGCCATAATTGCACAATTTTGCATTTTTACTTAATGTCATGTTAATTTTCTTTATTTCAAAAAAAAGGGGGGGAAATTAACTGCTTGCTGATTTTATTATACTGGTCTGGTGTTTAAGGACAGAGGTGTTCCTTCTCTGGGACACAGCAACTGCTAACCAACAGGTCTGTGGTTCGAATCCAGGGAGAGCAGGTGAGCTTCCTCTGTCAGCTCCAACTCCCCATTCGGAGACATGAGAGAAAACTCCCACAGGATCATAGAATCATAGAATCAAAGAGTTGGAAGAGACCTCATGGGCCATCCAGTCCAACCCCCTGCCAAGAAGCAGGAATATTGCATTCAAATAACCCCTGACAGATGGCCATCCAGCCCCTGTTTAAAAGCTTCCAAAGAAGGAGCCTCCACCACACTCCGGGGCAGAGAGTTCCACTGCTGAAATGGCTCTCACAGTCAGGAAGTTCTTCCTCATGTTCAGATGGAATCTCCTCTCTTGTAGTTTGAAGCCATTGTTCCGCGTCCTAGTCTCCAGGGAAGCAGAAAACAAGCTTGCTCCCTCCTCCCTGTGGCTTCCTCTCACATATTTATACATGGCTATCATATCTCCTCTCAGCCTTCTCTTCTTCAGGCTAAACATGCCCAGCTCCTTAAGCCGCTCCTCATAGGGCTTGTTTTCCAGACCCTTGATCATTTTAGTCGCCCTCCTCTGGACACATTTACAGCTTGTCAACATATCTCTTGAATTGTGGTGCCCAGAATTGGACACAATATTCCAGGTGTGGTCCAACCAAAGCAGAATAGAGGGGTAGCATTTGTCCTTGCAGACGGCCAGTTATCTCACGCCAGAAACAACTTACAGTTTCTCAAGTTGCTCCTGACATGAAAAAAAATATATAGATTTTTTTGTAT